AACCTGTGGTAATCAGGAACCTGTGGTAATCAGGAACCTGTGGTAATCAGGAGCCTGTGGTAATCAGGAGCCTGTGGTAATCAGGAACCTCTGTAATCAGGAACCTGTGGTAATCAGGAACCTGTGGTAATCAGGAACCTGTGGTAATCAGGAACCTGTGGTAATCAGGAACCTGTGGCAATCAGGAACCTGTGGTAATCAGGAACCTGTGGTAATCAGGAACCTGTGGTAATCAGAAACCTGTGGTAATCAGGAACCTGTGGTAATCAGGAAACTGTGGTTATTTAAGAGCATGAAGATTCACTGAGTATTTTGTAAAGTATGACTTTTAGAACGAAGTCCCAATAAACATGGGAATTAAATGACAATTTCAATGTCGTCTTTTTAAATAATTCGTTGACTTAGACCTTTTGAGAAAGTTGTAATCTGTAAGATTTTTGTCTGCCATGTTTACAATTTGTTTGTTTATATTAACGGTTGCATACGGTTGTACTAAGTAAAACAAGAAAATTGCAGTATACAAACAGAGTAAATTTGTCCGTCTTCACTGTTCATCTTGCAGAGACATTATAGAAACATCTTTACAGTCTTTACCCTTTTCATAAAATAAACTCTAGCAACCATAATAATATTATGGCTTTTGAAATCAGGTATTACAATGCTAATTCTTAACACAGCCGATTTTGTATTCGTCACTGATCTCCCATGTTAGGAAACCCTGTAGTATATTTATAAAAGTGTTAAATGCATAATTCTTAGCGCCGTCTTTTACATAAATCAGAGCGTCGGAGAACGATATGACTATGTCTGTTATTTGTAGCCGGTCAGACCAATCAAAACTTTCAAAGACACAAAAAAATATATATAAATGAAAACATCATCTCTAATCCAATAAAGGAAAGCTGTCACATATTCGACAAAAAAAACCGTTTCCTCACTTGAGGCCGTTTTCTGCCCAGTCTTGAACAAATTTTGAGATTTAACGGGCAACGCCCTGGTCAGATCAGCGATTGTTTTGAAACAAGCAAAAACGAAGATGACAATCATTCCATTGTTTTCTGGTTACCACTGCATTTTCCTCTGAATGTTCTTGACAAAATCTGTGAGCAGGAAACACAAAAATTACTGAGATGTTTGGGATTCAGAGCTAACGAGGAGCAGGTGAGCGTTTAAACATATTCCCAGGAATATCAAATATTATATTATTCATTCTAGATTTACTTGATAGAAATGTTGCTTTTTTACACTTGTTAAATTGTTAAATTCGGACTCAATACAAGAAACAACAATATGAATATTAGGCAAAAAATATTGTATATTTGTAGCAATATCGTAGCAATCCCTATATTTGTTTACCTGTGAATACCTAGATAAACATGAGCTATGTAACATGATAAAAACTTGCATTGTGATTAGATTAATACATTTATATCTGTCCATGATAATCTTCTAAATATGTACATTCAACCTATATTACGCAGTAAACATGTGTGGAGATATCTTAACTATGTTATATCTATCCTCGCTAATCTTATACATATGTTTATTAACCCCATTCAATGTACGTAGATATATATAACTCCATCATACCCATATTGTGATTGCTTAACTACATTAATTGTAACTTGTAATTATGCTGTTAAAGACACAATTCTAATCTAAACTGAAGAAATATTCTTTAGTTGATACTTAAACTCCGCTCTGATTACAATGATGAGAATATTATAATTTGGTTTTCAATGAAACATACGAACTGAGATCGTCGCCTTGAGTTTTGGCATGATTGATTTATTGCTATTGTCCGGTTAACGAGATCGCGCCCAGTGGTAGTGGTGTTGATGATTCACAAGATTATAACCATGTTGATTGTGTCCTGTTTGAGACATTGATCAATTGATTACTATTGTCCATTTGACATAGACAACATGGTTCTAATATGTCTATGTCAAAGTAGAAATGACAACATGGTTCTAAGTTGTCTATGTCCTTGTATAGATGACAACATGGTTCTAAGTTGTCTATTTCCTGGTGTAGATGACAAGATGGTTCTAAGTTGTCTATTTCCTGGTATAGATGACAACATGGTTCTAAGTTGTCTATTTCCTGTTATAGATGACAACATGGTTCTAAGTTGTCTATTTCCTGGTATAGATGACAACATCGTTCTAAGTTGTTTATGTCCTTGTATAGATGACAACATGGTTATAAGTTGTCTATGTCCTGGTATAGATGACAACATGGTTGTAAGTTGTCTATTTCCTGGTATAGATATCAACATGGTTGTAAGTTTTCTATGTCCTGGTATAGNACACGTACCGGCGTCTGACGAGCCCGTACGTGTCATTTGAAAGTGCTCAATGCCGTAGCGTTTGCTTAAAAATGCAAAATGGGCTTAAAGAAAGAAAATAATTGTTTTCCATAATTACTAAGACTAAGTACTAGCCACGCTCCCTCCCCGGAACCACTGGACCCACATTTGCAGAGTTTTTGTGCAGACAATAATGTACAGAACATATGCAATGACCCCAAAACTCTACTGGTCGATTGATTGATTACTCAGTGCAGCTGTATGGTTAGTAAATCCCTTTCGAGCCATTCAGGCCGGTCCGCATCAGTGCTGGTTTTATGCTTCCTGTTCTGTGTGTTAAATGCGCAATTAGATCGAAGACAAACTTTAAGCTGTCTTTCTTCTGACAAGTTTATTGGGACACCCTGTGTCTACATCAGTATTTTTTTCTTCTGACAAGTTTATGGGGACACCCTGTATCTATATCAGTATTATTTCTCCTAACAAGTTTATGGGACACCCTGTATCTATATCAGTATTCTTTCTTTGGACAAGTTTATTGGGACTTCCTGTATCTACATCAGTATTCTCTGTACTGACAAGTGTATTGGGATACCCTGTGTCTACATTAGTATTCTCTCTACTGACAAATTTATTAAGACACCCTGTATCTACATCAGTTTTCTCTCTACTGACAAATTTATTGGGACACCCTGTATCTACAACAGTATTCTCTCTACTGACAAATTTATTGGGACACCCTGTATCTACAACAGTATTCTCTCTACTGACAAGTTTATTGGGACACCCTGTGTCTAATCAGTATTCTCTCTACTGACAAGTTTATTGGGACACCCTGTATCTACATCAGTCTTCTCTCTACTGACAAGTTTATTGGGACACCCTGTATCTACATCAGTATTCTTTCTTCTGACAAGTTTATTGGGACACCCTGTGTCTACATCAGTTTTCTCTCTTCTGACAAGCTTATTGGGACACCCTGTATCTACATCAGTTTTCTTTCTTCTGACAAGTTTATTGGGACACCCTGTATCTACATCAGTATTCTTTCTTCTGACAAGTTTATTGGGACACCCTGTGTCTACATCATTTTTCTCTCTTCTGACAAGCTTATTGGGACACCCTGTATCTACATCAGTATTCTTTCTTCTGACAAGTTTATTGGGACACCCTGTATCTACATCANTATAAATACGTGAACAGTCTCTTTACAGTATAGAATTTCTTGAAACTCTAGACTAGAGTAGAACTATAAATACGTGAACAGTCTCTTTACAGTATAGAATTTCTTGAAACTCTAGACTAGAGTTAAACTATAAATACGTGAACAGTCTCTTTACAGTATAGAATTTCTTGAAACTCTAGACTAGAGTAAAACTATAAATCACCCAGCACTAAACAAATTCCTATATTAAACTTATAACTTACATACAGAGGGATCCAAAACTGAGAAATAGGAAGACGGATATTAGACAATACATAAAAAGTCGGCTAAATATTAAATTTAAAAGTCTGGAATAATTTTTAAAGTAAAAAAATTTGGTTTCCATAAAAGCAAGTATTTTCGGACATTTTTTACGCTGAAATCCTTTGTATTTTTTAAAGAGTGAGAATTCAACAAGAAATATTGTGTGTTTCGCGGGAGCCTAATATTTTTTAATTAACTATATTTGTATCTTAATTTCTGAAATTAATACAAAATAATACATAAAGTAATAAAATCCAACTCAAATATACATAACAAGGATTTTACACCTTGATAAACATTTCAGATTCGTTTAGATCAACTCCCGCCTCAACAGCCAAAATTTAATGTTGCAAACATCACTAATGTACCACTCTGTTTAGGCCAAGGAAATGGCCGGGCTGGTTAGCGTGGATGAAACCGGTTTTTCTGTCAGCTTCAACGAGTACCTTCGTCTAGTCTCACTTCAGCGAAGGGCGGAGCCGGATGAGCACTCTCTACTTGATGTTTTCTTGTAAGTTTATTTGGTTTTAAAATTATTTTTATTCATTATTTAATTTTTCTCACAATTTTTAATGTTACTCAACGTATATTTTGCAGATTTTCCGAATAATTGGATCCAAAATGTTCAAAATGTAATAAAATGTTCTAAAGGTTTGAGGGAATAAATTGGATACTTTGTTAAATCCTAATCCTGTCTGTCTAACCGACTGATTGCTCAATTCCTAGGATAAGCTAGATATTCACATATCCCACGCCAATCCGATTATAATATGGCTCCTCTCTGTTTTGGAAACTGAACTTAACTTTTTTAAAGTAAAAATTATTTTAAGAACGAAGAGTAGAAAAAATGAAAGTTTGTTAGAGGGAAACCTTAAGTGATTAAACAAATTACCTCCAAAAAGTCTAGGGTCCACTTGGCTGGAACAGCTGAGTACGGGCAGCCTAGTACATTTGAATTTCTGAGCCGGGTCAACCTTTCCGGTCCCAGTTTGTACTGTACCTAACTCTATGGCAGGACTTGCCCGTGCAACAAGGTTGACGCGGTCAGACTTTATGCTTCAAATAGTAAGTAGAATAACTGGAGGATTTTCTGCATATCAGATATCAAGGAAAAGAATCCTTTTTAAAGAATAAAAATAAATCTATCTCAGTTTTCAGGGGCGGATACAGAGGGAGGGGCGGGGGAACATTCGCCCCCCCCCCTAAATTTGGAATTTTTGTTCCTATTTTCAGAATAGCTTCTCAATAACATGCTTAAGGGAAAGAAACCCTAGTGCAAAACAGGAAAAATATCATTTTTTGTTCCTAATTATGAATTTTTTGGTTCCTAAAAAATCTTGCCCTCCCCCCTCACTTAAATCCTGTATCCGCCCCTGTCAGTTTTCAATTCAAATTCTAGACTTGATTGTCGTGTAAAGTTCACTTGAAGAGGGTATAACGCCCATTTCACAATGCTACTCTTAATACTTAAAACAAATGTGGAAGATATCTTCTTTTTTTCTAGCTTAATCGAGAAAAACTAGATATTTCGTTTATTCTTGACCAGACAAAACATTTAAAGGTACTGTTGTAAATCGGAAATGTCATTCTATTAATGGTTAAGTCACTTAAGATGTCTTTATTGTTTAAAAATCAAAAGATTCTGGATTATAATTAATATTATAAGAGGACCAAACTTTTGTTTGAAATAGCGCTAAGCTGCAGAAAGTCACTAATTTAATGTTTACTATAAATCATAACATAATTATGCCAACATGAGGATAAAGTTCCTAGTAAGTACAGTGATAACCAGAAAACTATGGAATAGGAAGACGACAATATAACCATATTTAAGTTTATTTGATGTTGTTACAAACCTAATAGTTTTATAACACACTCATTAAATCACTAATTTCGAGAAATGGGTCTGTTTACACTCCACAATGATCATTGGACTTTTAAAAGTTATAACTTGGTACTAAAAGTCGTCTTCATATTTCAGAGTTTTCCGGTTATTTCTGTAGTACATTCACAATATTTTTGTTTTTTATATTTATATCTTTTATCATCCCTGTATTTATTCAGGAGTTTTGATCCTCATCAGACCGGGAAGATTGATGAGAAACAGTTTAGAAGGATTATGAGAAGTAAAGAGGCAATTCCAGAGGAGGACGTGGAGGAGATGCTTACAGGTAGAAACCAAGGGGGGGGGGGCTTTAAAGAGAGTGACTGGCTAGGAATGGTAATTCAACTGAGAGTGCATCATTAAAGGGAGAGACCGGCTAGACATGGTAGTTGAGCTGAAAGTGCAGGGGGGCTTATGTCAGATTAGATTTTGGATCAACATAACAATTTGTCAGAGATACTTCAGTGATTATTAGGGCATAAGGATTATTTTCCGTGCGTTTTTTCTAATTTATAAAAGAAGCTAAAATAACTGAATTTGATAACAAAGAATTTTCTATGTGACCAGAGCTGGGAACTTTAGAATGGTGAATATCGGGATTAATGATTGATCCTCTCTTTTTGATAATCTCAAAATTAACATAATCTTGCAAGATGATCTTAAAGGTGTATGAAAAAGAATAAAATTCAAATTAATATTTAATCATCTGAGAAACTGTAGCAGCCAATCAGAGAAAAGCGGGCAACCAATGAGAGAACAGAAATATTCTCATCGGAGAAAACAACGGATATTCAAGGAGAGAGAGAGAAAAAGAGTGGATTAGGACAAAAATGAAAAGTTTCCACAGTGGATATTCGGATCAAGAAGTCAGGATTAAAGTTTATCCATTCTAAAGTTTTCAGCTCAGAGCCCGTGATTTTAAAAATTCTGGAAAATACAGCACGGGTCTAAGCTGTCTGTGGGCCTTATTTAATATTTACGGCTTGAGCTTTCGGATTCAAGCTGCATCTTATTTTCCACAGAGTTGAGTTAAAAAAACTGGCGGATTTTCATGGTAGGAATCATCGCATTCCAGGTTTTGATGAGAATTTGTCTCAACATTGAGCCTTATTCTCCGCTAAAACCAACCAAGGTCGGTATTATTTTCCTTGGGCCTAACTCCTTAAGTCGAGCCGAAGATCTTGCAGTTGTCAATTACGTGACACAAGCAGTCGTCAGAGTTGGGTCGAAGATCGGGTCTTAAAGTTGGGTTTAAGGAATTACTTCTCGAGACGAAGTTTTTAAATCGCGGGCTCAGTTTTAATAAAAAAAAATAAAAACTAAACAATAGGCATAAAGCATCAGCTCATCAAAATTTAGTTAAAATAACGTGTTTTAGTCACAAAATGATGACAATTTTCCACAGAAACACCCAAATACGACTCTGCACACTGCACAGTGGCATTGTTCAAACATTATAACAAGGCCAAAGGAAGGTTATTAGAAGATTGAAGGCTGTAAAATATATTTTATTTGAATACAACAAGTTTATTTCTTGTTTAGTTTACTTCAGCATTTATATTTCCCTGTAGCTTTAAATAAATCAATATGTGTATAATACTCATACACTCAAGTGTTTCTTGATACACTAAATATACTTCAGAGCCGTATTCAGGGGGGGCTATGGGGGCTCAGCCCCCACCTGGATCTGTGAAATCTATGATTTCCAAGGGCTTTTTTGGCTGAATCTCCCATGAACTAAATTTTTAAGGAACCCAGAAAATTGGAAAGTTTTGAAATTCCACAGGCAACGCGAGGCTACAATTATGATTAAATCCTAAGTATTTGACTGTGAATTTTAATATAAACCTTGGCAACGCCGGGCACTACGGCCAGTATCCTATTCCAGTATATACACAATAATATTAATAAATACTTTTATATAAACTTGAAATAGTAAATGTTTTATTGATAAAGGGAAGAAAACAAAATATGACACGTAAGATTTGGTTTGGGTAGAACAAGCTAAGCATCTTTCAAAATTACTTTTCCCCCCCCCTCCCTGTTTCCCCAACCCTTATAGCAGCAAGTATCCCCCCCCTCTCAGTCCCATTCGTAACACCGAACTGCCCCAACCAAATCTAAGAGGTCTCTATTGTTTCTGCTTCCGCCCTTAATATTCCCTTTCAAAGCCCTTTTCTTCATCTTAAAGGGACTGTATGCGTAATTTCAAGTGTCCATCCATTTAAAATAAGAGTTACCCGATTCACAATGGTACTCTTTAAAACTTTCACTGATCAATGAGGGCAGAGATCTCAGTGTATAAACCTCTTAAATGCTGTTTTAAAGGCCGCAATATTGGTGTGTACGCTAACGTTCTGTGTGAACTCAACGCAGATGACTTCCCACTGTCCAACACTATTTAACAAAAAAATCGAATGTGAATCTTACTTTGACACTTCAAGGAAAGCAAATATTAATATTTCTTAATTATGAAAGAGCTTATACAAACAAAGTGTTTTCAAGTGTTTTCGTAGATAAATAAGATAAATAAGATTATCTGATTATCTGATGCTTAAAGACCCTTTAACAGGCTTACGAGTTACGAGGTCGGATACTTTGTAGGAAGTATCGTTTATCTTGAACGCTTGATTTTGATATCCAATGTGGGCACTTTTAAATCTGTGGTTTTGACTACAGGATATCGAAGAGAAATCAAATGGTTGGTTTGCATCAAAATTCTTAATTCGGAGATTCTCAACACAAACGTTCGGACTTTTAATTTTAGCTTTTAAATGTTGCTTATCTTGCGCCAATTATTTCTCCTACACTAACATATAAAACTAACAAATGTTGAGAACTTTTCGAAGATATGCTTTACATTCGAATGCTGCATCACTACAGATAGGCCGAGAACAAAACATGTCATGTTACACGGTTACAACACATTTTCTTGGAATTTTATGCTCAATTCAAATTAAAAACCATTATTTTTAAATTTTTAAATTGAATGAGTTAGAGGACGGGAAGAAGAAAAACATTTTAAAAGGCGCTTTTTTGGACTGTTACTTGCTAAAAACCATTATTCAGTTTTTGGTATTTCTAAAATGGGTTTCTAATCTGAATTTGAAAATTTCCAAGAAAATTTTGGAAATTGTTTTTTTGCTTTTATACTTTGCTTGTCTGGGTGTCTGTTTGTTCATATCCAATAATAAACTTCACACCCTTAATGATGATTTCGGTGCCTTCTGAAGTAATTTGCAGTACACTTGCCGAAGATAGCGTTTAGTAGAAAGTGTTCAAACCGGTTGTACCGATCGGGCCCAAATTTTGTGTGGGACTTCATAGGACAGATAATGCTGAAAGATTGAGCCATTAACAATTAAAAATAGAAATAGAAGATGGACGTGAAAGCACCCTGATAGCCTAGTAAAATATATGAGAAATGAAGAAAACTTTGTTGATTGAGGATCCAAGTAAGAACCTGTATCGTATACATTTATTAAACTTCAAGGAGGAGGCAAAACCTTTTGATAAATCAAGATCATTTTTCAGGCTTAGCTAGATATTAGCATCTATATATTTTCCTTGTCTGTCTGTCTTGTTTGTTTATCTGTTTATATCCAATAAACGTCAAAACGGCTGAACCGATTTTGTGGGGGTCATCACATGACGAAAGAAAGATTTGTGAATGTTCAAAATTACAAAATTTTGTGTTAAAAACTTTTTTGATTTTTGTAAAAGTTTTTAGATGCGCAAAAATAATTTTAGGAAGTCGGCGAACTTTATTTGTTATTGTTTTATGCTGTACAAAGAGAAGATGGGCGTGAAGCGCCCTAAAAGCCTGATTTGCTATAAATATGTTCTAGAATGTATTTTCAGCAATCAAGGGTATAGTTTAAAAACGCAAATAATGTCTGAAAGTTTTCTTCGACTGTTGTTGAAATTTAAAAAGTCTCTCCATTTAATAAAAAGTGGGATGTCCAATTCACATCGTTACCCTTGATCAATAATGTGGAAGATATTATCATTTTTCTAGCTTAAAAGTATTTAGTTCTCACAATTTTATTCACAAGTCACTTTTAAGGAGAAACCACAATTGAAAATGAATCATTTCTTAAATGGAATTCATAAATATCTCATTCATAAAAAGGTTTATAGGGTACCGTTGTGAATCGAACATTCCATTTTATAAATAAAGATTTACTCCAAATTACTCGAAGTCTCTCTGAGTCAAAAAAAAACAAAGTCATTGCCTGTAGCTTAAGTTCTTAAAAGCAAACTATATTGCTTTAATTGTTTATTAAGACACAAAATAAACTATCCCTAAAAAATTTAAGACGGAACTTATAAATTGTTAAAATTAAAATTGTGAATTTCAGCCAATTTCAGTTTCATCTTTTATTCGTAAATACATCAGAATGTTTCATATTTCAGCAAGAACTATGATTTAACTACTCCTCCAAGTCTCCCAGTCGAGTGGAGGAAGGCCAACCACAACTATTTCTCGTCCGAGCCATAATCTCCTCATTTTCTCGTCAGAGCCACCTCGAAATTTTCGTCCGTTCAATATCATTTTTTTAAGTGTCTAATCCTCCCAGATAAAACTATTTTTAAAGAATCAGGCCACCTTAGGGCATAACTGAAATATCGAATTTTTGTAACTCGAAAAAATAGTTCCAATTAAATTAAAATTTTCAAGTTCAATGTCTTTAAAAATGTTCACCTTTTTTACGCGCATTTTCATATACTAGCCTTAGAGGGCGCTTCGCGCCCATCTTCTAAGTTAATTGTGAACAAGTTCTCTTTGTGTACATCGTAAAACAAAACAAAAATAATTCGCGGATTTTCACAAAAAATTTCGTGGATTTTCAAAATTTTATAAAAATTTAATGAAGATCGAATTTTGATGGAGACAAATTTTTAAAATTTCAATCCTTCATAAACCTTCCCTGGGGTCCCTAGATGTCCCACAAAAAATTTGGGCCCGATCGGTTCAGTCGTTTTGACGTTTATTGGATACAAACAGACAGACAAACAGACAAGCCAAATTTATATATAGATTCCTGGTGTAGAATGCCACAAATTGTTCCGAATTTATAGAACTTCAATCTTTTTTGATAATTATAGTGAAAACCATAGAAATTTTTCCTGGTGGTTCCATGGTTCCATGGTTCCATGGTTCCATGGGGGAAAAGGTTTGCCAAATATTTTTCAATTTATATCGCGAAGGTAAGTCATTACGGAGGCAGAAGAGATTTAAGTTTTACCTAAATAAAGTTTAACATCATTATCATGGGTTTGAAGATTCCAACATGATGTAATCATTGCATTACTTTAGTCCATCCATATTTTATGCCCTAATGTGGCCAGATTAAAAAAAATAGTTTTATCTTCGAGAATTGGAAATTCTTAAACACATAACAATCGAAGGACAAGGATTCCGAGGTGGCTTGGACGAGAAAATGAAGAGAATGTGGCTTTGACGAGAAATTGTCGTGGCTGGCATTCCTTCCCTCCCCAGTCTCAACAACAAAAATCAAGCAAAGGCAAACTTATAAACACAGGGTGGTATTTAAAGAATCCAACTATAGAGCAGATATAGTGATTTTATAAAACCTTTTTCTTCAAGCGGCAACAGATGGTATAAACAGCAGCAAGTGAGGAAACCCAGGAATAAAAAAGTAGTATTTACAACAAACCTCAATCATGTTTTATAGTACCATCTGTTTTTTAAAAATGTAAAAACAAGCACGGAGGATATTTATTTTGCACAAAATTAAATTCTTGGTTCTTAAAAAAAATAATATTCTTCTTTTTGAGAATAATACTGTACTGTACTGCAGAGGATGTATAATGGTAAGATTACAATAATGAATAAAATGTACACGTGAATTGAATAAAGAGATTCGGAAACAAACGAACTCTATCTATTGCATATAATGGTGAGGGGGGAGGGATCTTGAACACATTTTTAACTGTTTGGTTTTTTGTCTGTTTGTTTGTATCCAATAAACGTCAAAAAGGTAGAACAGATCGGGTCCAAATTTTGTGTGGGACCTCACTGACCCCAGGGAAGGTTCATGGATGCTAAAAATCCAAGAAAAATTGTAAATCCGCTAAAGAATTTATTATGAAGAGAAAATAATAAAAGATTAAGCAACAATTAAAAGTTAGAATAGAAGATAGGAGATAGGCAAAGGATCCTGGTGTTGTATTTATTGAAGTAATAGGTATAAAAGTAAAATACATTGCAGAATTAACAGTTCATTACAGAACAGTACATTGCAGATCAGTATATTAATGGCAGAACGTACAGTACTTTACAGAACAGTACATTTCAAAACAGTATATTGTAGAACAGTACATTAAAGAACAGTATATTTCAAATCCGTACATTGTAGAACAGTACATCACAGAAAAATACGATGCAAAACGGTAAATTACAGAACAGTACATTACAGAACAATACCTTGCAAAACAGTAAATTACAGAACAGTACAATTCAAAACAGTAAATTATAGAACAATACATTAAAGAACAATACCTTACAGAACAGTAAATTACAGAAAATTACATAACAGAACAGTACATTTCATAACGGTACATTGTAGAACAGAACATTACAGAATAGTACATTTTAAAACAGTACATTGTAGAACAGTACATCACAGAAAAATACATTGCAGAACAGTACATTACAGAAAAGTACATTTCAAAACAGTACATTGTAGAACAGTACATTCCATAACAATACAATGAAGAATAGTACATTACAGAACATTACATTTCAAAACAGTACATTGTAGAACAGTACATTACAGAACAATACATTACAGAACAATACATTACAGAACAATACATTGCAGAACAGTAAATTACAGAACAGTACATTACAGAACAATACCTTGCAGAACAGTAAATAACAGAATAGTACATTTTAAAACAGTACATTGTAGAACAGTAGAATACAGAAAAAATACATTACAGAACAATACATTGCAGAACAGTACATAGCTGAACAGTACATTTCAAAACAGTACATTGTAGAACAGTACATTACAGACCAGTACATTTTAAAACAGTACATTGTAGAACAGTACATTTCAAAACAGTACATTGTAGAACAGTACATCACAGAACAATACATTACAGAAGAATACATTGCAGAACAGAACATTGCAGTTCAGAATATTACAGAACAGTACATTCAAAACAATAAATAACAGAACAGTACATTGCAGAAAAAATCATTAAAGAAAAGTACAATGTAGAACAGTACCTTACTGAATAGTACAGTGCAGTTGAGAACATTACTTTGCAGCTTAGAAAATTACAGCACAATGCAGTATTGAATATTACATACATTACTATGCATAATATTGTGCAATGTTTAGTACGGTACGATACACTACATTAAATCACAATTTACTAAAACACAAAACACTAATGTAAAATATATTTTAGTATACATTACACTACATTACACTGCAGTGTGCAGTTAGGAAAACCAAATGTTTTGAAGAAAATCTTTCTTTATTTAGAATATAAAAGAATACAAAGAGTGGAAGAAGGCGAAACAAAAACTGGTGTCATTTATTATAAAGGTATAAAAATGTAAAAACTCTTATTATTAATATCATTTTTATTATTACTATTATCGTTTATTAAAAGAAATTGAGCCTTTATCACAAACACAAAATTTCTCATCCCTATAACTGACAACCTGACGTAGTAAACTTTGATACTTCGACGACATTGGGTTGCAAAGATATAGTGATATTGTCACAAAGCCATTTAAAAATCTTTAATATTTGTTATTATAAAATAAAATAAATTGTAAAAACTGTTATCATTATTATTACTGTAATCATTTTATTTACAATTTTGTCTTTTTTAGAGTTCATATCAATGCTGCAACAATAGATTAAACCCAGGTAAATATAATTCTTTATTTTCATAAATATTTGAAGAAATATTTATCATATCTTTTAATTGAGGGAAACCCCAGTTACAGGGTGTCCCACGAAACATGCAGTTGGTGAATAGTTTAAAATGTCTTCTTCCATAATTTGATAAGTTGTTTGATACTAAAGAGGCTAATAATCTTTTTATATGCCAGTTTTATTATAGTAAAATTGATTTCACAGTAATATATATGTAACAACCCTAGCCAGTATCTCCGGATAAACTTTAAGTACATGAAATGTGCAACTAACTCTATACTCTCTTCCTGTCCTTAACAAGACAAGGTTTACATCGGGGTGTCTTTAATTAGAAAACATTATTTGACCAGGCCGGTATGCTCAGACAGGTTACAAAGAACTAGAAATAGAATTAAAGAAATAATCATGGTAGCATAGTGAAATAGATAGTTAGCCGCACAACTATTACAGGATTCACTACATATATACTAGTTAAACGTTTTCTAAAATAAATTAACTGCAAAAAGTATTTAATATCTAATACAGTATGTGGAAGAAGACATTCAAAACTATTCACCAGCTGAGACACCCTGTACTTCAACATATGCAAAACATATTTGAGACTTATAGTCAATTTCTTAGATAGATACGACCTATAGTTGTACCTATGGTTAAATGAATAAGAAATTGGCCATTACTCTCAACTTTTTTTTCTGGTGGAATAGTTCCATAAAGCTAACCTCAGATGTACACAACCGACCGACCGACCGAGTGTCATGTACAGTGTTAGATACGTAAACATATCGTGATGTATACAACCGACCACTCTATTAATTAATTAATAGGGAGGTCGGTTGTGTACATCTGAACTAAGCTTTACCTCTTCGTTTTGTTACTCTATGAATAGTTCTTTATAAAAGTTCTTTATAAAAGTTCTTGTACAATGAGAACCTTAAAATTGTGGAACAGGGAGACGGCATTAAAGCGATGCTAAAGTTTTTATTTGATGTCGTTACAACTTAAATAGTTAAATAGGGTAAAGTGACTTAATCAAATAGTTATATAGAGTAAAGTGACTTAATCAAATAGTTATATAGAGTAAAGTGACTTAATCAAATAGTTATAGAGTAAGTTGACTTATTTATTTATTTATTCAGTAAAATGGGTCTGTTTACACTGCACCTCTACTATTTCTCATGCAAATTGGAATATTTAAATTCATAACTTAACTCTAAAAGTCGTCTTCCTGTTTTGAGTTGTCTGGTTCTCCCTGTATCCTTAATGAATTCAAATGTTTTAGGTTAAGTCACCAATTATAATGAACAGAAAACATGATAGTTTAAGAAAATACAAGAGCATGATATGGTTTGAAAGGATGAAGCCATGTGGAATTTAGAGAACAAATCCCTTCATTAATCGTCATAAAATATGCAAAGATGATTTTATAATCTCGCTTAATGCATTTCTCAATACTAGACTCTATTTTGAGAAATGAGTTTATTATTTAGTTCACTAGTTCACTGAAACCCGGAATATTTGTATTCGGTCAGAAACTGAAAACTTTATAATTGGATATTGTTAATACTGATGGCTAGGATCTGAATATCCACTGTGAATACATTTGATTTCTGCTTAATCCGCTATTTTTCAGATATCCCTACTATTTCGACCAATGAGGGTTCTTCATTAGTCACTCCATGATTGGTTGAATTCAGGGCTACTGTCTAAAGATTAAAATAATTTTAATATTTGCAAAAAGAAGAGATGAAGCATTGTTTTCGATATCCACAATTCTAAAGTTTTCAACTCTGGATGCTGTCTAATCATGCATCTTGGAAGTGGTGACATCAGCGACGGAAATAGAAACTACTATTTTCGAAATTGACCGCTAAAATCTAAGTGGCGCTAATACAACGATTTTCGAACGTTCTCAAAAGAGGGTCTTGTTAGACAATATTTGATCATTTCTGTATTATTGTAATTACCAATTGTGATAAGTGTAACGTTCTCGCATAATATTTCTCCTTGCAGAATTTAATCTTGCCAATTTAAAGGTTTTTTTTAACGTATTTTTGAATATAAGACTATAAATAATTAAAAAACCTTTTTTGGTTTGGTTTTAAAACATTAAGAGTTTAGACTTTTTAAAGGCTCCATAAGAATCTGCGATTTATATCCTAATTTAAATTTGCATCCTTGATAAGTTTGCTTTTATATCATCCAAAATATTCACTCTGTACAAAATAAAAACAATTTTTCATAAATATCAGCTAGTAAAATCGTTTTAGAAATAGTTTAGATTAATATCTTTGACCGAAGAAAAATTGTTTAAGATGTAATAAAAGCAATTTTATCGAAAAAAAACTTTTTGTAATTGTAATTTCAAGTGACCCTTCCATGCAAAGATGGCAAAACCCGATTAACCTGAAATACGTAGTCTGCACAAGAATGAAAAAGCTATCAACTGATTGTTTTCAATTTTGAGTTCTCTACGAGAGTGAGTTGCGCATTTCTACCTCAGAAAAAAAGGACAATACATCCCACATAAATAATGAGATAAAGAATTTTAGGGTACCATTGTGGATCGGAACTTGCCATCTTTGCATGGGAGATTCACTTGAATATAGGTTTACACCTTACAGTCCCTTTAAATGTTTTAAAACTGACGTCATAACGTACTGCTCATTCTTAGCCACCATGTCTGTAACGGTGCCCTGTATAAAAGACAGCAGTTAATGCAATTAAGATTAAATCTCACCTTCAGGTTGCTTTATTAGAGGGTTTCTTGTCACCATAAGATCGCCTCTTTTATGAGGGTGAACCTTGATCAGGACAAGAATGTAATGCAAGGCAAGTTAATTGCAGTTACGTATACTCTGCGTACATATTGAAACCAGTTCTCTCTGGGCGGAATTTGTAAACAAGAATAGATGCATCAGTGTTCGTTTAGTATCCGAGGAGGTTAAAAGCATTAAATTTTGATAATTTTGATAATTCACATAATAGTTTCCTATGACCAGAATATTTCATTGATTTTTTTATGTGAAAGATGGATCCCTTGTCAGGCTTCGACATCCGTCTTGTGTTTACATTACCGCCCAGACTCAGTACACTGCAGTACAAAAGATGTGTACACTTCTGAAATAACTTTCCTTGCATTACATCCTTGGATCAGGATAAATATTTGTTAAAGGGACTGTCAGCTTAATTTAAAGTGATCCTTTATGCAAAGATGACAATTGCCAATTTACAACGGTACCCTTGAAACCTTAATCTGATCTATAATGTGGAAGATACTGACTTCTGACCCTAAAAGAAATGCGCAAGTTTTACCAAGAGAAACCACAAATGAAAATAAACAGCTTTTAAAGAAACAAAAAACATTGTTATCTAATTCATATTTGTCCAGGCAACGATTTCAAGGGTTCCGTTGTGAATCGGGCATTGCCATCTCTGCATGGAGGGTCACTTGAAATTACGCTTACAATCCCTTTAAAGGGATAGACGGGCTAGACATAGTAGTTGAGCTTTAAGTGTAGTATTGTAGAAAAACTGTAATATATGTTTATTGTTTCAGTCAGCAGAAGAAACATTTTTTTACAATTATTTGATAACCCGGACCTAAAACTTTTATTTAGAAATTGTAAACCGTAAAAATGTTTCATTTGTAACAAATGAATCCTAAAGTTGTCTCTACAATACTGCACTTTCAGCTCAACTACCATGTCCAGCCGGTCTCTCCCTTTAAGGGTCACTTTAAAATAATGTAAGCAATGACTTAATTTGTGTAAACACCATTTGCCAAACACATTCTTTGAATATTATATAATTATTTATCTTCATAAACGATTTTTTAAGAATAATCATTTATGTACCTCATCAAGGGCAGAAGAGATATTTTGAGATTAAGGCGAGATTTAATTTTCAAAAGTAGATCTAGATCTGATTAAAAAAGGTGGAGGCCTATAAAATCCCACCTCAATCTTAACCCTTGATTCAAAGATATACAAGAATATAGATCGCTAATGCAGACTGCAGTAAAGGTGAAAATTGTACAACCCCTTGTACATCATGATCTCGTCATTTGAAAAGGTCATTGAATACGTTTTTTGTTTGTTTGTAAGGGGAGTCCAATTGTCATCATTATCATTAACATATCGGCAGTAAGCAGCAACTAATCTTCGTTCTAATCCTTTGAAATTCAACTTTCGACTAGTATGTCTGCAATATTTGTAAACAAACCCCCGTAAATTTGTACAGAGTACAAACATACTTGCCGCAAACCTTTATATCCAATATACTGTATGTCAGTAGCTAGTACCATAGTTAAATTGCCATTTTCAATTTCAACTGTAACCAAAGAGAATAGAATATATATTAGAGAGGAATTTACTAGAAAAAAGTGTAAAACGGCCATTTTGTTGTACTGTTTCCATACTGTAAGTATACTTCACATATTTGCGCTAAATAATCTTTTGGGCCCTGAACCATCATTTTTTTAGAAAATCTAAAATTAATATTAAAAGAAAACCAAATTATGAAATAGGCTGGTTTCATAATTGAGTAATTGAGCAATGATCATTTCACATAGACTCTATGCCTTTCACTTTATTCAAAGATATACAAGAATATAGATCGCTAATGCAGACTGCAGTAAAGGTGAAAATTGTACAACCCCTTGTACATCATGAACTCGTCATTTGAAAAGGTCATTGAATACGTTTTTTGCTTGTGTGTAAGGGGAGTCCAATTGTCATCATTATCATTCACATATCGGTAGCAAGCAGCAACTAATCTTCGTTCTAATCCTTTGAAATTAAACTTTCGACTAGTATGACTAGTAGAAAACCAAATTATGAAATAGGCTGGGGTCATAATTGAGTAATTGACCAATGATCATTTCACATAGACTCTATGCCTTTCACTTTACTAACGATGATTTTCCGTTATAACTATAAATCAAATGATGTTTTTTATTCACCTAATTCTTTTTATAAAGTTTATTTAGGAGCTTTAAAAAATTCGAAATTGAAATGGATAGTCTAGGGGACATACTTTATTAATAAACTCTACTGCATATAATTTGTGAACATTTACATGAATTGTACACTTTAAAAGGCTGAAAGGGACTGAAAAAATTCATACCGAGAGATTGTCTAAATTCCCCTTTAATATATATTCTATTCTCTATGACTGTAACCCTCCAGTATGATGAAGACGACATGAGCGATCCATATTCATGTACAGGGTGTCCCACATTAAATTAGACTGCGTCAATGGGTCTAAATTACGATTACGATTGGAGATAATCTAATATGATATGGGACGCTCTGTTTATCTATGCCTTGACCAGATACATAAATTATACATAATTCATACATAATTTATATATAGTTCCGAAACAAACATTTCAAAACACCAAACAAAGTATTTCTTTTGATAGACCATTATTTTTACTTTTCTTGTATTTATGTGATTATTAATATCAGGGGAGGGCTCAGCCCCCCCCCCCTGAAAAAGTGGCGGCTTTAATTTTTAGGGGGGTGATTGAGTAGAGCTATAGAAGGAAAACAATGTATATATTCATCATTTATATTTGTATAAAGCAAAACTAGGGAAAGTTAAAATACATTGAAGGAGGAAAAATAAATCTTAGAAAGGTGTTTATTCTTTTCAAAATATAGCATTTTTCCGCATATTTATGCTTTTTCATGAAATACTGTTTTTCTTTTATTTAATTTGAAAAACTCAAATTTTAAAAAGTTCAGCCTACATTTGGCATTAACTCAGTCACGTTTCTTTTGATATTAAAAAGCTATAAACGGGAGCAACATTAAAAAATCCAATTTTTACTCACAATCTCAAATCTTCAAATCCCTCTATTTTTGCAAGCTGATGGTGTAAACCTTTAGATAATAATAAATAATATTGTGAAAATGAGACTATTTGATTTAACAGAATTTTAAAGTTTTAAATAGCAAAGGTCTACGACATCTGGTTACAAAGATTTAGGGATATTTAAAGCCAACCTAAGCTAAACCTAAATTTGCTAACCCATGTATCTTTGAAGTCTGATTGTGTAAACCTTATATGTTTCAAACTTGTAATTTTAACCTAGCAGAATATTTTAAATATCAAAGATCCTCGACAAAGGAAATACGTTTACGCCACAAACTCAAATTTTCTAATCTCTATATATCTATATTTGTGCAACCAGAGTCCGAATTTAATGAATTTGAGCCGCGTCTCAAATCTGCCAAAAACTGGTTTCAATTTTGCGCCGGCTTCAATCTTGAAGCATTGAATACAATTTTATGTGTAACCAATCATATTTGAACCGCGTCTAAAATTTAAGCCGTGGCTCAAATTCTTTAAATTTGACCTCTGGTGGTGTAAACCTTTAACATTTTAAGCTTGGAATATTAGATATCACAGAATCTAGAGCTTTAAATATCAAAGATCTACGAATTTCTGGTAAAAAATATTTAGAGATAAGAAACTAACTTAATCCTTTAGGCCTACAGGCATAAGTCTTTGCCACAAACTCATATTTTTTAATCCATATATCTTTGCCATCTTATAATATGTTACAAAGATATAGGGTTAGAAAATCAGAGTTTGTGGCAAAGACTCAATTCCTTAATATTTTAAAGATGATTCCTATTTTATCTGCAATTATAAATTTCTTGTATATTCTAATATTGTTTCCGCTTAAAATGCATAGCCTGTATGAAACTGATGTGTAAAGTTAAATTGTATAGTTTACATCAAGCTTTTATGTATTTTATGTAAAAATGACAATCTCTTATTTTGGACAATCTGTGTAATCCCAATATATATCTTTAATCTAAAAAATTCTAATTTAATTCTTTACGTCTATTCTATCGAGATTTCTCTCATTGAAAAATTGATAAAATTTGAGAAAAAATCTTGCATGCTGCAGGGCCGGTGTCATGCCTGCAGAGAACTCGTACCTGCAGGGCCGGGTTGGGCAAGGGAGCATAAACCCCTTTTGTGTGCACTCAGCTGAAAACTATATATTAAGAGACGTGTTGAGACAATGCACTCTAGTATGCCGAGTCCATTAGCGACTGATCTAGTATGCCGAGTCCATTAGCGACTGATCCAATCAGGGTTCAGTCACGTGTTTGGTGTCTATTCTAAACCAATAGAAATTGCATGGCGGGAACATCTATCTTTCTATCTATCTAGCTCATTATCCAATTAGAGATAAATCCTTATATCGGCTCTATAACAGTAAATGGAAATATTTACTTCTACTGAAACTATGGTGAATAGATAAGTGTAATTATTGTGAACAAACTTGTAAAACTTTAAGTGGGCGTCAATGGTTGATTGACTGTAAGTTGGTTGATAAATGGGTTGATTGACTGTAAGTCGGTTGATAAATGGGTTGATTGACTGTAAGTCGGTTGATAAATGGGTTGATTGACTGAAAGTCGGTTGAAAGATGGGTTTATTGACGGTAAGTCGGTTGATAAATGGGTTGATTGACTGTCAGTCGGTTGAAAGATGGGTTGATTGACTGAAAGTCGGTTGATAAATGGGTTGATAGACTGTAAGTCGGTTGATAAATGGGTTGATTGACTGTTAAGTCGATTAGACTCCTTAACTCAGACATTGTAGTCTCAAATATTCACAAAAATGGATATATTTCAAACCTGCAATAAAATGCAGGTATAGTACAAATAAATGACAATGTATAAATGTAATTGAATTGTTAATAATATATCTTACTAGTTTTTTGTGTCGTGGTGAAAAGGAGTGATTAAGGATCGGAGGGTTTGATGGAATAGTTTTAAACATTTTTAACACTTCTGAAAATATGAACCCGGTTTTTTAAATAGAATTCATTATGGATTGCAAAGTTATTATGGATTTGATCTTTTAGTAAAACATTTCACTGTTTCGATTTTCCTTTGTCTGGGTAGAGAGGTAGAGTCAGAGAAATTGTTTGTTTGGATTTGGGTCTGGCAAAGACGACATTACGCCAGGGTGGGGGTTGGAGACAGGTTTATGGTCAAAAAAACTATTTTAAAGGATGTGTAAGCGCCCGTAATTACAAGTGACCCTCAAAGATGGTATATGCCTGATTGTCTGTTTAATCAGAATAAACTTATAAAGGTACCGTTGTGAATCAGGCATGGGTATTTTAGCGTACAGTCCATTTAATTGCTGTCTTTGAAACCTTTAATGTTTTTACATTATGAATAAAAGGATTGATAAAATTTTTAGTATTTCTTAAGAATGCAATAACTTTAAAAGAATCCTGGAGTTTACTCCTTTGATAATATTTAAACCAAACTTGAAAGCTTGAAAATAAACTTAAACTATTCTCCCCCGGGCTGGATATTAGAACAAGTTTAACTGCTAAACTTTAGTAATATTGTTAAAAGTTAAAACTAACAAAGTTATAATTTAAGATAGCCTTAAAATAATTCATGTTGCAATGGTTAAAGTTAAAATCATGTTTGGATTTGCCTGTAAAAATCGTTGCTTGACTAATTTTCAATTGAGTTTTATAAATTTTTTTCAAAGTTTCCTGAAATGGATCATGAAAATTTACTTCTCATCAACGACACGTGACAGCAGTTGCAAGAAATATATAGCCAATCTCAGATATCAAGATACATAGCAAGAGAGTATGAAATGTCGTCTTGAAATACATTTAAAAACATATATCAGCAGTTCTGCTTCATTTTTGTTGTTCACAAGAAGAAAGCTGCTCAGATGTTCGCAGCTTCAAAGGGTTAAATAAGATTTATGAAATATCCTTGCAAAGAGTGATAATTTTTAATTCTTAAGAAACTACTTTTATTAAATTCAAGGTACGCTAACAGCCCTGACATATGCAGGACAGCAAGGAATTGAGTCTTTGCCACAAACTCAAATATTTAAACCCCAATATCTTTAGATATTTCAAACGCAGACTATTTGATCTAACAGAATTCATAGTTTGAAATATCTAAAGCTTACAACATTTGGTTCCAAAGATATAGTGATAAGAAAATCAGAGTTTGTGGCAAAGACTCAATTCCTTTATATGTTAAACTCGTTTTTTTCCGCAGCATTGGATCTTAAGTATTCCAATATAGCTGTATTTTCTAAATAAAATTAAGATTGTTATTTCTAAAAACCAATCCGCAAAAATGTAACGTCGTAACATATGTAAAAATTGTGTAAACTTTCGGATCTTAAATAAATATCTAGATTTTAAAAATTTTAAATAATTCTGACTGGCGTTTTCATTTGACTATTTAATAAATGCAAAATATAAAATTCGATAAATTTCAATGTTGCTTGGGACACTAAATCTAAATACAACGAAGTTCACCTTTTTGAATTGGAATACTTTCTGTCAAATTATAAGCTCGCATTCAAAATCCATCAATATTAGCGTAAACAACTTTAATTTTATTAAACTATTCAAAACACAGTTTCACCCAGAACTGCGGAGATCGAAAGAATTTATAAAATGTCGTTTTCTTTATCTACTGATAAAGGAATATCCTGCAGATATTTAGTTTTTTAATTTAATGAGAATTTGGAGCTCTTTATGTACAGCTGTTCCAATATACCTAGGTATTTATTTATTTTTACAATACTAACATTTAGGTATATTATTATAAAACCGATTAAAAATTGTAAATACGACAATTTATAAATTCTTTTGATTTCTCTGAAGTTCTGAGTTAAACTGTATTGAGNAACCTATATATAAAAACATATATAAATAACCTATATATAAATAACCTATATATAAAAAACATATATAAATAACCTATATATAAAAAATGACAATTATTACATCATTTTTGAACAAACAGATGCTTTTATAATGTTATTTAAACTCATATCTAATATTTGATAATATTACATCAACAGTTCCATGATATTTTTATTTTTCCTGGAATTTTGTATGTGTGCAAAAAGTAAGGTCCGATGACGCAACAATATGACAAATGTGAAAAAATAAAGAGGAGCTCAGTTCAATACAAATATTATTCCAGGTATCATATTAAAATAAACACTTGAATATTTAAACTATTCTACAATTTAGTAATTCAAATAACATAAAATTAAACAAGCTACGACCAAACACACTTTACAATGTGCGAACAATCTCAAAAATCAGTTTTAGACGTGCGCAAGAGTACGAAATTCAATAAAAATATTGATCGAATTATAGCTGTTAACGTATCTTAAATATATATTTTGTTAGACGTTAAAATGCTTTGGCTTCTATGTTTGGCATGCTTTGTCTCCTTTGGACAAACAGCTGTTTGGAACCTTGGGGCATGCCCAGATATACCAGGTTAAATATGTTATTTCAAGATGGCGGTGATTTTTCAAGACAGCAGTGATTTTCTACATAAGAAGATGCATTCGATAAACTCCGGGATTTGTTTCATCTTTTTGCATTAAAAAATTCCAAATTCTAAAGAAAAAAATAGATTACAATTCTCTAGGAATGGACAACTTTGATTTAACAAAGTATATGGGAACCTGGTTTGAATATTCAAATGTTTTTGAAATATTCCAGGTAAAAATAAAATATTGTCTTCTGTTTTTTTACCCTTTAATGGGACCGTTAATGTAATTTCAATTAATACTTCTCCTTATTAATCTACAGAATCACTTGATTTGCAAACTGTACATACTTCCGTTTTACAGAAATTTGAACAGTTTTAGAGAAATAAACACAGGCTTTGATGATCGTTGCCAAAGATTTAAAACGAATCGTTCAAAATTGGGCATTGCCATCTTTGCATGAAAGGTTACTTGAAACTACGTTTACAGATTTATATTTCTAACTAAATGTAATTAATACAAGTTTAACAGCTCTATATGTAATGCAGTATACTTTCTATAAAACAAATATGATAAAAATGTATTGCAGTACAGAGAGATAAAGTTCCAAACATGGTTTATAACCCAAAAAATGTTATTTTCAATGTATTTTAAGAAGCAGAAATAAAAGACCTTGTTCTTTTTAAACTTATAATTTTAAAGAAAGTACATAATTTCCCAATTTGTGCCTGTTACAAAATCAAATAATTGATGTTATTTGAAACCCCACTTTCCGAAAGTTGATTCAAAGATTTTATATACGAGATAATTTAATTAATAAACATAAATATAGAATATTTCAGATAAAGCAAAAACATGAACTAAATGTATATAAGATTATAATTATTTATTTAAATATCAGATTGGAGCTAAATGTGTTCGTGCACAATATGCCATCAAGGGAGAAACTATTAGTGTTAAAAATGAACAAGTTAATATGTGGTAAGTTTTAAAACTGTTTTAAAACTGAGGTTTTTTAACAAACCAATCTTAAGTTTTGTCCTAAAAATTTTTGGACCCCCCCCTCCCCCCATCCTATCAATCTTGTACATTTACTTTTTATTATTGAGGGTTAGGTTAGGTTAAGATAATGTCTTGGCCGAGCGCTCCTGCTAGGATTGGCTAGGGGGCCGAGTGCTGCGGTTAGAACAGTCTAGGGACCGAGCGCCGCGGCTAGGACAGGCTAGAGGGCAGGGCGCTGTGGCCACATGATCAATTATACAAATGTACAAATTTAATAGGAGGGGGAGGGGCCCAAAAATCGTTCTCTAAGAAATTACCTATGCATGTTTAATTGATATCTACTTAGTCCTAAAAATTCTGAGATGTTTAAAACATAATTAAAAATTATATTTGTAAAAAAGTTATTATGCAATAATTAACTCTCACAAGAGTTTTGTAGTTTGTATTTGAATTTTTTTTGCAACATTGAATATTAAAGAAGCAGAGCTTTTTATTGGGCTTTAGAAATTATCTATTTCCCGGAGAAATAATAATTATTTAATCATTTAAAAGGAAGACGACATTTGCGAGGGAATTCTTTTGCGTGTTCCGATTCTTCAATAACATATTTTAGAACGAAACGCGCAGTTATTTGTGTAAACTTATAATTCGAAATGTTTTTAAATTGATTTTGATTTCTAAAATTGTGTTGAAATTATGAAAACCCTTGCACGACAACGGACTTCAGGCCTTTCTAAGAAAAGCCATACCTTTGTTTACAATCTTTGATTTATTTAGTTAAAACTCACAAACTGATTTTATTGTACACATATTGCCTTTATCTCAGGTGGAACAGTTACCAACAAGTTCAAGGATCAGCGAGGCCAGCTGATCCAGCCAAACCAAATAAGGCGGAGTTAGTTGTAACATTCGAAGGAATACCATGTAAGTTTTCTTGCTGCAGGGCACACACTAGAATAGAAGGGGGGGGGGTTAATTTAGTGTACCGTCCCGTGTTGCTTTAGATAGTCCGTATGTGTACTGTACAGCTTGTTCTAATTGCTTTAAAGTCGGCCCGGTACTTGAAATGAACCGGAGTTTTCTGTGAGGAGTTCTGAATCTATGAAATGTTGGTTGAGTGGGTGGGTGGGGAACCTAGATCCAGTGTAAAACTGCATGCGGTGCAATGCATCATTCATTACTCCTTATCCTTCCTATAGACTTACCTAATTTTGGAAAGTTTAAACTTCTAGCGGTAATTCTTAACTATACTAGATGTTAAACAATTTTTAAAATATGTATGTAGGAATTGTTAAAAGTGATTTTCTATTTCTTTTTTTTTTAAATATTGACATCTCACAGATCACTTATGCATTTATTCGGAACATGTCAAGGTTAAGAGGGGTTAAAATCAAATCTAACTTGCATGCTCTCTAGAGACCAGGCTTAATGAATATTGATAAACTGTTGAACCTCGTAGACATTATTGAACCCCTTCTCTTGTCCGCCAGTTCAAATTAAAGAAGTGGTTCAACTTGTCTTCGCAGTTGAACTGTATTATTCATTTAATCTGGTCCAACGCTAAATACTTTATTTAAATATAGAACTATTTAAATGTGCTTAATTTGTTGTTTTAAATTTTAATTTTGTTTAGTCCAGTCTACTAGTAGTGGAAAAGTAGCTCCTAACTACAGTGTAGTGGATACTGATTATACAACCTATGCTATTGTTTAGTCCAGTCTACTAGTAGTGGAAAAGTAGCTCCTAACTACAGTGTAGTAGATACTGATTATACAACCTATGCTATTGTTTACCAATGCACCACATTCCCTGTCTGGAGAAGAGGTAAGTCTTTTTATACAGTTTAACCCAGTACTGTGGAGACATCGAAAGAACTTATAAAACGTTGTCTTGACAATTTTTTAATAGGTTTCTTTAAGAAACTTTCTTACTATTCATATCTAAAGTTCAGTAATTGTAAAAATTAATAAACTGTCAGGTTACCAAATTGTTGGTTACCAAATTTTCCAATTACCAAATTGGTAGGTTACCAAATTGTTAGTTACCAAAATGTTAGTTACCGAATTATTAGTTACCAATAATCTGCCCATCGAAAATACAGATCAAAGGGACTGTCTTAGTAATTTCAAGAACATTCTGCAAAGAAGGCAATTCCTGTGTCACAAATGGTACCCTGATACCTTTATCTGACAAAAAATGTGAAAAATATTGTTGATAGTGTTTTCCTGTAGTAGAAATGCGCAAGTCACTTTTGTAGAGAAACCACAATTAAAAATATATTCAGTTTTCAAAATTTTAATAAAAGTTAAATTTTTATTTTATTTCTAGAGTCACTTTGGGTTCTCACCAGGCGACAAGTTCCAGAACAAGCCCTGGTGGATTCTGTTTACAAGTTTGTATTTATTATTATTTTTTGATTTCAGGCGCAAGCAAAATTTGGTACAATTAGTGTCTTTGCATAAATACTTAATAAATATATATTTGATGACTGTTTATTATTCTAGGACGAATTTGACGTCATCCGTGTTTAATCACAGAGTACGCTAGCCTAGCGACACTGTAATTTCATATATAATGTTAACATTAACATTAACATTATCATTGACTTTAAACAATTCAATAAAGTTTATGGTTGTCAGTATATAATGTTAACATTAACATTAACATTAACATTATCATTGACTTTAAACAATTCATTAAAGTTTATGGTTGTCAGTATATAAAGTTAACATTAACATTAACATTAACATTAACATTGACTTTAAACAATTCATTAAAGTTTATGGTTGTCAGTATATAAAGTTAACATTAACTTTAACATTAACATTGACTTTAAACAATTCACTAAAGTTTATGGTTGTCAGTTTATAAAGTTAACATTAACATTAACAATAACATTAACATTGACTTTAAACAATTCATTAAAGTTTATGGTTGTCAGTATTTAAAGTTAACATTAAGAATAACATTAACATTAACATCAAAATTAAAATTAATAATTGAGTTTAAACCATTCTTTTCAGTATATGGTTGTCAGTATATAAAGTTAACATTAACATTAACATTAACATTAACATTAACATGAACATTAACATTGACTTTAAACAATTCATTAAAGTTTATGCTTGTCAGTATATTAAATTTACCTAAATGTTAATTTCTATGGTAATATCAATTAGCATTAACATTTGTATGTTAATATTAACATAAATTAAATTAATAAATAAGATCAATGGTCTCATATTGTGCCTGGTATCCTTAGGAGGTCACTTAGAATAGCGCTTACAATCCTTTTAAGTCACCGACAACAACATATAAAATTGTTTCTATATATGCTTGAATTGTGAGGCCATATTTAAGGCATTATTTTTTAGGAAGATGACCAGCCTAGGCCTGCCTGTTCAAAACTTGGAGAAAACTGAACAAGAAGGATGTTCACTCCTCCCCTAGATATACTGTCATCGTCGTATATATCAATATAATTAAAACAACTTTCGATTTCAATTTTTGATATCTCCTAAGCTTTGAAACATTCACATAAACATGGAAACAAAGAGAAGCTGTCAATAATAACAGCTTATCTTTTTTTTTACTTGTAAACTTGTAATTTGGAAAAATCTTTTTACGAAATTAAAATTTAAAAAGAAAGGTCGTCTTCATTGTATTGATATAAACACCGACCACTGCAATGATTGGTTTGATGTACAATTTATTATGAAAAATATTAAGATACTTTTATTGTTAAATCCAAATTTGTTTAAATAAAATATGGAATCCTCTTTTTGATGCTAATCAGAAATATAATGTTTTAATTTAAGTTGTTATGCCAATTTTCTGTTAAGATTAAAATTCGCAAATTATTTTTGTTTTGTTTTACGATGTACACAAAGAGAACATGTTCACAATTAATTTAGAAGATTGGCGCGAAGCACCCTCTAAGGCTAGTATATATAAACTTTGCTTGTCTGGTTGTCTGTCTGTCTGTCTGTCTGTCTGTCTGTCTGTCTGTCCGTTTGTATCCAATAAACGTCAAAACGGCTGAACCGATCGGGCCCAAATTTTGTGTGGTACCTCACATATCCCCAGGGAAGGTTTCTAGATGATCAAAATTTTAGAATTTTGCCTACAACAAGAATCGGTTTGCATTGAATTTTGAAAATCCATGAAACTTTTATTATAAAATGATCCGCACATTTTTTTCTTCTCTTGTTTTGCAATGATTTTTAAAATTCGGTGATCGTGATGGACCAAACCTCTGTGGAACAAAAAAAAGTAGACGTTAGTTCCACATTTATTGAAAATATTTCGGTCTGGATTGACCCAAAGATAACACACAAAGAGAAAATGTTTACAGATAATGAAATATTATAGATGGGCGCAAAGCACTCTAAAAGCCCAGTAAAAAATATTTAGGGAATAACAAAATCAATTTTAACTCGAATTTAAATTTTGAAATAAAAAATGATTATTTTTCATTTAACCCAATCCTGATTGGCTATTTTTGATGGGGGGTGGTTCTTTTCCATCCCCCCTTCCCTTTGGAATTTAACCTTAGATTTGAGAAAGGGGTGTGTGATAAATGTTCTTTAGTCCATTTTTTCAAGGCCTGCTGATTGAAAAAAGGTAGACCCCTTACTTTAATGGTTAGGGTGCTTGTAAAAACATCCATTTTCCAGATCTGTAGCTTAATTATCTACAAAGTAATTGACTATTATTTTTAGATTTTTGTGAAATAAATACCACCCGTTTGACCGCCCCCCCCCCCACNTGCTTTGGATTTTAGAATGATTCAAAATGATTCAAAATGATTCAAAATGATTCAAAATTAATAAGAATTCAATAATTTATTGGTTTTATAGAACCTTATTATCGATTTTAAAAATTCAATTTCAACAATATCACTATCACTATCTTTCACTATCATTTTTTTAAATCATTTTGTAAAAGAATTGAGTCTTTGTGACAAACTATGGTTTTCTGATCCTTATATCTTTGCAACCCAATGCCATAGACCTTACATATTTCAAACTATAAATTTTGTCAGTTTAAAGAATCTAAGTTTGAACTATCAGGTGGAAACATATAGGTATTAATAAATCAGAGTTTGTTACAAAAACTCAATTCCTTTCTTTATCATTTCTTTAAAGTTCACAAACCTACTAAATAGTTTAATTAATATAGAATCAATTGAGAGGTTTAAAGTGACTACATACAGTCCTAATTAGTAAGTGGTTCCTGGCAGCACTTGACAATCTCTCGTCTGTCCATAATCCATAATAGTCTTTATCAGATTGACAATAATGAGAATATCATCGTTTTAAATCAATTAGGAAAATTTCCTTTATTGTCCCTGCAGCATACATATACAAGTCGATAAATTAGGTAAAATTCATTCGACATTATACTGTCGCCACTTTGAGACCTAATAGTAACTCTTCACGTTTTGGTTTTAAGTATCAGAAAATCTGGTCACATATTAGAAAAACTTCTAGAAAGCTCTTCAATAAGAGAAGCTATGATATTTACTTGAACTTATGTCTACACAATATAGATTTGTTTAATGTTTCAAATACGTATAAATCAGGGAATAACAATAAAAGGAAAGGAAATGGCGCTGGTCTGGATTAAGAAAGCCAGTCGCACTTGTTTGCAGAGGAGTTCGGTATTACAAACGCGCACTCTTTTGGAACAGACACACAACATGACTACAGTCAAGGAAATTGCAGAGCAATGTCGTCAATTATAGTCCGGACTAGCAAATGTCTTCGGATTTAAAGCACGCAATTTTTGCCAGTCGCGGGGTGCAATTTAAACTCCCCTTAAGCTTAAATAACGAGTAGTTTATTTTAAACTTTAATCAAACTAAATTCTTTGCATGAAAACTTGGCTTCAAAGTGTTGACTTAAATATGTAAATAATATATAATATGTATATTAAACTTATTTTTAAGTAAATAATTAACAGTAAACAAATGTACTCTCCTAGACTACACAAATATCTACAGTACACGCCTTCGGTTCGGTATTCCTTACACACTCTTTTGGTACAGACATGGCACACACACATGACGTTTCCGCCCCCTGGTATAAATAGTATCAACTTTATTCTGCATCCTTCATAATAATCATACAAAATTTAGCTGTTTTTTATTACATATGGTAAATAAATATAAAGCAACAATTTAGAATACAATTAATATTTTAAACTAAAATTTAATTTTTTGTAATAACAACACTATTTAAAAGACAAAAATTCTATATTCAAAAATCCGTTTGCGATTCTTTTGAAAGAAGTTTATTAGCCTTCCTCTTTTTTTCAAATATTCTATCGGCAATTTTTAAATAATTACGGTGCTATCGTATGATATATGGCTTAACAATTTTGGATTAAAGAATGTCCCAAGATTGGTACATTTGAACCCATTTTAAATTTTAATTGGTGAAAAAAAAACATTTTTCAAATGAAAATAAAAAATTTATAAACGTGAGAAAAAAAAAATAAGACTAATGAAGTATGATCACACCCAATTGATAAGTTATTAAATATAAACACAGTGAACTTGACATAAAATCACAAAAAAGCCAAAAAAAAACACTAAAATGAGAGAAATTTAAAAAACTTCCTCTCTTGTATCAAAACACTGAATTCCATCTTGATTTATCAGCTCCAAACATGATGATAGATCCTTAAAAAAAAATTTCATTATCAACTAAAAACAAATAATTCCAATCTTTACGCTACAAAAATCATGAATTTTAAGGTTTTGAAAAAATTATAATTTTATATAATTTACTATATACTAATGAAGTATATATTGACTAGAAACTGTCATGTCTGAATCAATGCGTCAAATATTGCATGTATATTGTATACTGTATTATGCAGTGGAAGGTGATCAAATTAAAGAATCCACTTGCGGATTTCAAAATTGTTTAAAGGGAGTGTTAGCAAAAAATAAAAGGGGGTATTATAGACAGATCCCGAATTGAATTTGTTGTTGATTGCTGCTAATTTTATTTCTATTTGTTAGATTTATCAGGAGAAAATGGTTAAAAACGCCAGGAAATGGTTAAAACACAATAAGCATAGATCCCGCGTAAATTCGCCGAGTGGCATTATTCCACCCAAACCATAAATAGGTCAATTAAACTTAAAAAATCGTTCAGATATTACAAGTTATAAATGTCAAATTCAATTCGGGGCATGTAAAATTGATAGAGAAAAAAATTAATTTAAATTAGGATCAGCCTATAACTTTTCGCGAACACAAGAAAAATAGTCATACATTAAAACCTTCCAATAATATATAAAATGATAGATGAAGAGGTGATAACCTGGCATGTTGAGGGTAGTGGTTTATGTACACGAATATTTTTACAATATCTGTCCATCTCATCTGAGCACAGGGGACCGTTCTTAGACTTCAGGCGCATTGTGAAAATATAATTAGTGCCAGCGACAACCTAAGAAAACAAAATTGTCCTTCAAAAATACATAAAAAGTTTTTACATCGTTAACTCACATAAAAATTGATTTTGTAATCTTCTTTTAAACGGAAGCTAAAAGCAAGTGCATTGCAGTTTTAAAATGTGAGTGTCCAGGGCTACAAAAAAGTATATGTGAGTTGATGAGGTAAACCAAGGCCTGGGTGTTGCGACAATCCAAGGTTCTTAAAATGTGATGTTTTCATAGATTTCTTGATCTCTATTCGTTTACAGGAGGCAGGGGGCAGTGCTGTCTTCTAAACTATATTTTTTATAAAACGTGCCATACCCCCCCCCCCTTCTCCGTTTAAAACACAAGAACCATAAAATATGTAGTATTTCCCATATTTCCTTAAGATTTACTAATCTTGTCGCCTCTCTTTTTTCTACTATTTTACCTGTTTTTTTACATCTAAGACCTCTAAAAGTGTAGTTCCTTGGCACTGAACCCCTGAGATAAGTGCTAATCCCCCCAACAGCTTCTTAGAAGCAATCCCAGCCACCATCTTGGCATCACTGTCCAGTTGGGCAGATGCAGGGGCGCCAAGGATTGGGAAATATCCTGGATAAAATCAAAATAAGTATTTTTGAGAAAATTCATCGTTCATTAAGAGGTCTTTAGTAAATCAATAATTATACTTTTTATTAGGTATCAAAGAGTTGTGACAACTGTCCTACTGAATTTGTAAAGTGTTTTGAAAAATGTTAAATCTAGTTGATTTTAACACCTCCAAAATTTGAAGAAACAAATATCATAAATTCTTCCTGTTTTTTCCTCAAGCGTGGCAAAAGATTTTTAACCACCGCTTAAAATTGTTTTACCTCCAATTATGCCGAAGTTAGAATCATCTACCGGGCATTCAAGTTTCTCGGTACAGCAGCCAAGATCATCTTTAACAATGATGCAGTTCTCCCGTGTTCTGGAAGCTGGAGCTATGGCTGGACATTTTTTAATGTTACAAGATAGATCAGGGGGACTGCTGCATACACATGCCTAAAAAGAGAACACAGTTATGCATATTTTCTCAAAGATCATTTAACCCCCCCCCCCCATCCGTTAAGAAAATATTTTTTTCTCCAAAAGATAAGTATGTTGGGGTTTATTTGCTGAATTTGGTGAAATAAATGGATTTTTGGGTTAAAAGTATCGAAAAGAAGGAAACAACTTGTCCAATTTATTTTATTTTTTTCCCCAAATCATCAAAAATCACCACCCCTCCCCTGCACTTGGAAAAATTCTGGAAAACATCTATGTCTATGGTTGCCCCCTCCAGTAGAATTTTTATATGGTTTCATGAATTTAAGAGCTGGGGAGTGGGGACAGTTGAAATTGTTTTTAACAAAGCATTCTTTGTTACCTTGCAAGGATCGCTGTCGAGTCGAACAATATCTCCAATAGCGTAGGATTCGTTTCCAAACTTGCATTTTGGTAGTGGAGGAGGTAGAGGAGGGAACCTGCTGCGAAGTTGTTTACCACAGGTAGAAACACAATCAACCAACATCTCAAAATTATTTTCATTCCCTCGGCATCCTCCATATAGAAACTCTTCGCATCTATTGCTCTCGGTGTTGTAATAATATCTTGGTTTCAAAGCAAAACAAGGACCTTCAAAATTTTAATTAAAAATTGATTTTTCTTAGCCCTACCGTTTTATGTGTCCGAGAAACTTTGTTGTTGAATCACCCTGTAATTTTAAGGTTTAAAAAACTGGAAACCTGTTTTTATTAAGTTATGTATTGAGTAGAGCAAGTGGGAAAAATCAAAAAGACAGTTTAAGATGGTGTGAACTGTAGAGTAGACCCCCCTCCCCTCCCTAAAGAGGTTAAGAAGTTTTATTTACCTGCATCCATAGGTTTATTACAGATGGGGTTAGTAGGGGCAGGAACTGGAATTGTGACAGAACCATCATCTAATACAAAAGCAAAATAAATGAATTTCCAATTTACCCTAAGTTGAAATTAATCAATAGCTAAAACTAGCTAGATGTACTGGGAATGGATAGATGAGCTGCTTCTCTGTTGTCTAGAGTGGACTATACCTAGCTGGCTGTTCGTCAAATGCAACCTCCGATATGGTTTCAAAATGCTTAGATCTTGAAAGTGTTATCGCATCGGTGTGTACTTTTAAGCAAAGAAAAAACTGTATATGTCTTATGTCTTATGTCTTATTGATTTATCCTCATGTAAAATAACAATGTTAATTAATAGAAAGGTAAATAATTATTTTAAAGTTCATCATTAAAGTTTAGGAATCACTGTTGAAAACCTTTTAGCTACCCTTGTCATTTAGTAAATTTTCAAGTCTTTGCTCATTTTTGATTTAATTTTCCAAAAAAAATTAGATCAATTTTGATCCATAAAATCTTAAACTGAAAAGAACCTTTACAATTACATGTCCTTGTCCAAAAATCATAAACTTGAAAATTTGGCAATTTGTCCCAGATATAAATTTTTCAAAATAGCCAAGAACATTTTAAATTCTACTAACAATGTAAAATATTCTAAAAATATACAACAAAAACTAAATATTATAAAAATATACAACAAAAACTAAATATTATAAAAATATACAACAAAAACTAAATATTATAAAAATATACAACAAAAACTAAATATTATAAAAAACCTGGGTTTGGAATTAGTGCTGATCTGGCAGAGGCAGGTAGATGAGCAGCACATGCTTTCTCGCATTCTGCTGCGCTCACAAAATTGTTGCCATTTCCATTGCAGCCTTAATTAAACAAAATTTTATTTTCAAATCAGTCGCAAAGTATCCCTTTAAAAAATTTAAACAATTAGGCTTTTGGGCTCTCAGGTACTTCCACAAAAATCTACCAAATTGCAAAGTTTGGAATTTAAGAAAAAAGTAAATTCCAACCGAAAAAATATTTATCAACATGCAGCCACCTTTGCCTTGTACAACCTTGACAAGAAATAAAATCTTGAATGTTAAAATAAAAATAAGAAAGGCTGGCCACTGCCAGACCTATAGCTACCTCCATAGTTGAATGAGACACATGAACTGGATTCCTTATCAAAAAAAAATCTTGTGATTGCTGCTCTACAGTCACCAATCATTTTCTCGGTCAAACAGGGGTCTGTAAAAATAATATTTAAATTTAAATAAAAAATTTGATGGAATTTTTCATATCTCATTTATATTTATTTTTAACTCTGACTGATACATCCTAATTTTTGAGCTGAAAATTTAGTGGTGGAAAGATATTGAGTTTTAGCCACAAACTGGGATTTTCTAATCCCTTTATCTTTCCAACCCAGTGCCGTAGACCTTAGATATTTCAAACTGTGAACTCTGTTGGCTAAAATTATCTAAGTTTGAAATATCACAGGTTTAAATCATCAGGTTGCTAAGAGGTAGGGATTCAAAAATTTGAGTTTGTTGCAACGACTCAATTCCTTTAAGTCTACACATAAACCTCAAGTTTCCTCGTAAAAATAAACATAATGGAATTTTGATGATAACTTACCATATTCCTCAATATTCAGCTCTGTGATGGTTAACATATTTCTTCCTTCCCCTAGATCCATTGGAACAATATCTATTGGAATCTCAATAGAGTGTTCACCATGGCAGTTTATGTCTCCAGATCTAATAATTTAGACATTTGATAATTTGGCATGACAGTTTTTAAAATAAATGTGTTACCTTATAATTTCAATGCAATGATCATCTGAATCACAGGCGTATGGTAGAGGTTTGTAGGCATATATGTTTGAGCAAATTTTAATCTCCTCATCTTGACAATCTGGTCCGGTCTTGGTGATCATTTTCAGGGTAAGGATAAAATTAGTTCCAGCCACTACTTGTTTCTTAACATTCACAACCTAAACAAATTGGATATTCATAAACTCTTAGAGTTCTAAATGTGTAAAAATAATATTTATTTTGAAGTGAAGCAGCGCTACTATTTTGTTTTACCTCAAGTAGCTTTACATGTGCACATTCTTCTCCAACTACAGAAGATATTCCAACGAGCTTCTTTGCAGCTTGAACAGCCAACTAAATACAGAATAAATATTGTATCAAATAAATAAGATAAGTAGATAATTGTGAAAGCTTGAGTTTTGTAAATTATTCTGGAACCTAATGGACCTTTGATATTTCAATCTTTGTCTTAATTAACTGTTCAGCTTGCACACAAATCTGCCCCTTTGGTAAAAGTAAATTCAACCTATATGAAGCATAAAGTCTGACCGTGTCAACCTTGTTGCACCGGCTAGTCCTGTCCATAGAGCTAGGTACAGTACAACTGGGACCGGAAAGGTTGACCCCGCTCGGATATTCAAATGTACTACGGCTGCCCGTGCTTGAAATATTAAATCACAATTGGTTGAAAAGTTCTAAAGGCTAGAAATTAACAGTTTAAAATAAGTAATAAGATCCTTTCTATTTTACCTTTTTAACTTCTCCATCTATGGGAGCATCACTAGGACACCCTGGACAAGATATAGTTGCTCCTGGAGCCCCTGGGAATACTGTAGACAGTGAACCTGATATTTGAACAGGCAAGGTGTTAACACCTCCTACCTAGAATAATACAGGGAATGTAATAAATATACCACTTTCACAAAGTTTAAAAAAATCTTATCATTGTGTTTAATCTTTCAAAAATCACGGAAGAAAGTTTCTTCTTCTATTGTTCAAATATATTTGGTACTGTTTGGTTTTAGAAATATTAATTCCATAAGAACTTGTAAATTTTAACAGACTCTGACAAAACTAGTTACGTTAAAATGTAATAAAACTTTGATACAATCAAATATAATGTTTTTTTAAATGTTTCCAAATTGGTAGAATGAGAAACAAAACAAAATGTTGTCCTTAAAGCATAGTAAACTACCAACTCATTAAACAAAGGGATGTTACATTAATTAACTGTATGTAGTATGTACAAAATCAAAAATTATCTTGGGAACTAATTTTTGATTAATTGGGGGGAAAATAAAAACTGGGGATATCAAAAGGCAAGTTTTTTATTCTTTTTAAAAAATTTTACCAAAAAATCATTTATTTTTTTTAAACTTCTGGGGAAAATAATTGATTTTCTGAAGGATGAGGAATGCTTTTTCAGGAAAATATACATACCCTGATTAAATAATTAGTACCTGGATAAAGGGTCCAGATCCTCCAGGTCTGCATCTATTCAGACAAGATTCAAGATTAAGGAAATTGTTCGCATTTCCCTGGCATCCACTGTAATCAAACCTCTGAACAAAATGAAAACTTTAAATTGTTTAATTAATAGATAACATCAATTTAAAAGTCATGTAAGAGTTTATGATTTTGTATCTAATGAAATTAGTCTTGACTAATAATAAAGAATTTTATTTATATACTATTTTTATGAAAGTTTGCTAGTGAACAGATATTAAAATTCAAGAAGGGTATTGGACATAAACAGCTTGTTTCAATTTTTTGCAAGGATCATTTGACCGTACATTACGAACTACATATAAATATACTGTCATTATACAGCATTAGAACTAAACTGTTCCTTCCTTTTGTATGAATTTTATGAAATCGTACATTATGTAGTATATCAGGTATACACTCAACTCCCTTACAGAGAAATAAAATGATCCAGTACTAGAAAGTTAAATTTCCTTTTTAGATCAGAAATATTTTTTAGGAAATCCGGTTTTGGGCTGTGGAAATAACAGATCTTTGGCAAAGGCTAGGAATCCAATAGACTTTAGTGGAGCTCCAACACAAAAGATCAATTTGCCATAAATTCCTTAGATTATTCTCACCTCACAATTGCCCGAGTTCTTGTTAAAAAACCATCTTGATTTGATCGCTCTGCAAGGACCTCTAGACATCTCTAGGCCGCAAGGATCAATTTCTGGAATAATTTCTATCTCTACAGTTGGCCGGCCTCTGAATGATAGAACAGTTATCATAATTCTCATATTGACACCCACAATCCACACAAAGATAAACAGAAAAATTGATTCTCATATTGACACTCACAATCCACACAAAGATAAACAGAAACATTGATTCTCATATTGACACTCACAATCCACACAAAGATAAACAGAAACATTGATTCTCATATTGACACCCACAATCCACACAAAGATAAACAGAAACATTGATTCTCATATTGACACCCACAATCCACACAAAGATAAACAGAAACATTTAACTTTCTAATATTAAGCAGACTCTTAATTTTTAAATGTATAATGTAGGGTAGGTTTAGGACGTTATAAAGGCTGGTCAGCGTTTTAAAAAACCTAAAACAGCCCATAAATATTTTGTTATTCAAGATCTTACGACTACAACTTTTAAAAGCACTTAAAAGTAGCTTAAGAACATGTGTCTAATTTTTATTTTGAAAGCTAACCTTGAAAAATTTAACTATAAAAATGCATTGCAAATCCATACCTCTACTTTTACCCTTTTTTCTGCTATGCATAGATTTAAGCCTCCCAGATGTTACAGGGTTAACATGGAATGGAATTAATGATATTGTCATTATGCTAAAGAATTTAAAAATCAAGATGCGGAATTATGGCAATACTTTTAATTTTCCTTTCATTAGATGAACAGTACATGCACTTTTAATTCAAGCTTTAACAATTTACTCATTGTCTCTGTAGCAGATATTCGCAAGTGACTCCGTAGAAAAACTACAAAAACTCAACTGTCCGAGAGATAACATTTGATATATCAATCAATCTTGATCAGATGAAGGTCTAAATTGTACCATTGTGAATTGAAATGAAATTGTGAATTGAAATGATATCTTCAATCACTAAAATCAATAAAAATGCCCCTGATACCTGAGCATACTGGAGGGGGATACACATGTGATGACACAGTCTCGTAAATCATCAAACATATTCTCTCCTCCCTTAATTAAACCAATTAGTTCAACATTAACCACTGCAAGCTAGGTTTAGATCTTTAAGCTGCAAACAGTGATAAATGGAAATGTTGGTGTCTTTCTTTCTACAGTGAAACCCTTAATAACGAATACATGGAAAGAATTCATCAAATGTCGTATTCTTCAATTTCTGATAATGGAATGTTGCAGATATTTAGTTTTTTAATTAAATGATTATATGGAGCTCTTTGAAACTGTTCCCGTATATTCATGGCTATTTATTTATTTTCGCAAATACTGAAATTTACGTAATATAGTATAAAACTCATTGAAAAATTGTCAAGACGACATTTGATAAATTCTTCCGATGTATTCGTTATTAAGGGTTTCACTGTACATACAAGAAACCAAGTTCAAAAATATCAGTTATAATATTTAAAAAGTTAGTACAAAGTACAAAATCCTTTTCCTTTTTCTTATTAAAAAATGACAACAAAGACAACAACAACTCCGTTTATTGTTTACTGTTTCTTGGATATAATATCAAATAGAAACTATTTTGAATTGAACAATGGACAGTCCTATTTAAAAAAATAGTTGCTAGCATGTCGGACTTTTTAATAAAAACATTGTTTCGAATTCCTTATACCTGACATCCCGAATAGTAGAATTCATTACATTTTCCACTTGTCACATCATAGTAAAACTTCTTGAGACGAGATCTACATAATAATATCATTAAACTCATTTATAAAGCGCGCAGAGGGCAGACATATTTTTAATTTGCGATAAGTGTATTTTGATTTCGCACAGTGTAACATCAGTACGACTGGAAATTCTCAAGGGGGAGTGGGGGTTTATTTTAATCTTTCAAGGGAGAGGTTTTATTACCCTTTGGAAACTGAAAACACCCAAGGAGGCCGTAGATTTCACTGACATAGAGGGTACTGAGTCCCAATGCCCCCCCCCCTTCCTTTAAGTCTACACATAAACCTCAAGTTTCCTCGTAAAAATAAACATAATGGAATTTTGATGATAACTTACCATATTCCTCAATATTCAGCTCTGTGATGGTTAACATATTTCTTCCTTCCCCTAGATCCATTGGAACAATATCTATTGGAATCTCAATAGAGTGTTCACCATGGCAGTTTATGTCTCCAGATCTAATAATTTAGACATTTGATAATTTGGCATGACAGTTTTTAAAATAAATGTGTTACCTTATAATTTCAATGCAATGATCATCTGAATCACAGGCGTATGGTAGAGGTTTGTAGGCATATATGTTTGAGCAAATTTTAATCTCCTCATCTTGACAATCTGGTCCGGTCTTGGTGATCATTTTCAGGGTAAGGATAAAATTAGTTCCAGCCACTACTTGTTTCTTAACATTCACAACCTAAACAAATTGGATATTCATAAACTCTTAGAGTTCTAAATGTGTAAAAATAATATTTATTTTGAAGTGAAGCAGCGCTACTATTTTGTTTTACCTCAAGTAGCTTTACATGTGCACATTCTTCTCCAACTACAGAAGATATTCCAACGAGCTTCTTTGCAGCTTGAACAGCCAACTAAATACAGAATAAANACATCATCCCTTCAACAATATTCTAGTATTAAACCCAGTCTACAGGGCAGCAAACATCATCCCTTCAACAATATATAGATTAAGATATATTTAGATGTATTTAGACATATTTATATATATTTATATACCTGTCCAGGCAAAATTCTAGCATCACCAACTACCAAGTCTCTGCAAACTATTAACACACAATCAAGATTTTTAATTTGAAGAAAACCAGGTTTTTTGGTACAGTCGTATATATCAATACAATAGTCATCGATTATTTTTCGACGAATTTGTATATAGTTAATATTTCATAATATTTTTGATTTTTTTTTTAAATAATTTTCGCTGGCGCTCGATTCTCGAACATTCCTGGAAAATATGAAAATGTCGTCTTCATTATCAAAAATCCTCGAAAATAGGAATAAATGTTTTCAAAAGTAACTCTCAGATCATGAAAAATACAAAATATTATGAAATATCAACTATTTACGAATGCGTCGAAAAATAATCGATGACTACTGTTTGTAATATCTGAATGATTTGTTTGGAATTAAATTGATTTGTTTACGATCCGAGTTGAATGTTGCATCTTTCTGAATTTGTATGGACACTACGTTCTTCGGTATTAGTCGTTTTTAACAATTTTCTCTTTATAGACGCAACAGATAGAAGTAAGATTAGTAGCGATCAAAAGCACTTTTTAATCGCATTAAGCCTATATCCCCTTTCATTTTTAGCGAACACTCCCTTTAAAGTTTCAAGTGTACCATTGTAAATCGGGAATTTACATCTTAGCATGCAAGGGTCACTTGAAATTACGCTTACAGTCCCTTTTAGAATAGGTTCTGTTGGAAATCATATTAAATAAAAGTTTGAATGAAATTATTTAGCTTGACAGAAATAAAAATCTTGTTCCCTGTGTTACAATCTTCACTAGAATCAAAGTTGTTGTATTCTCCAGGACATCCCTCAAACTGAACACATCGTTGAGAATCCTTGTCAAAATAGTACCGGAAGCTAAGATCAGAACATTCTCCACTGTCTCCAGGAAGCAGACATCTAAACAGGAAGTTGTTTCATCAGAGCCCGCCATTTTATAAAGGTGGGAAAATAAGACTCCGGTCTAAGCTGTCATTGAGAATAATTTAAAGCTATGGAGCTTTCGGATTTAATTTTCAACAGAGTTTAATATTTTATTTGGCGGATTTTCATGGTTGGAATTGGGGGATTCGAGGGATTTCATCGGAATAAGCTCAGTATTTAGGCTAGTTTTCAACTTAAACCAACCAAGGTTGGTTTTAATTTCATTGTGCATAACTCCTTAAGTCGAGTCTAAGAGCCGTCGATCACGTGACACCAGCTGTCGTCAGTTGATTCATAAGTTGGGTCTAAGATTGAGCCTAAATCCGGGTCTAAGGAATTAAGATTCGAGTTCTAGCTTTTAAATCCCGGACTCAGAGTTCAAAACTGTTGTGTGGAGTATAGTTAATCTTAAACATTTGATCACAATATCCAATAATCACCATGGGATATCAAAGAGGAATTTATTCAATTAATTAAATAATAATAAAATAATAAATATTTTTTTTATTTTAGAAAATATTTGTTGAACTTGCCTGTCCTTTGGTTTGAGTGCTGACTCTGATGCCACTAGTTTCTCACTGGGGGTTTCAATATTGTTTTCAGCAGGACAAACCCAGTCTACAGGGCAGCAAACATCATCCCTTCAACAATATTCTAGTGTTAAACCCAGTTTACAGGGCAGCAAACCTCATCCCTTCAACAATATTCTAGTATCAAACCCAGTTTACAGGGCAGCAAAACATCATCCCTTCAACAATATTCTAGTGTTAAACCCAGTTTACAGGGCAGCAAACATCATCCCTTCAACAATATTCTCTAGTGTTAAACCCAGTCTACAGGGCAGCAAACATCATCCCTTCAACAATATTCTCTAGTGTTAAACCCAGTCTACAGGGCAGCAAACATCATCCCTTCAACAATATTCTAGTATTAAACCCAGTTTACAGGGCAGCAAACATCATGCCTTCAACAATATTCTAGTGTTAAACCCAGTTTACAGGACAGCAAAGATCATCCCTTCAACAATATTCTAGTATTAAACCCAGTCTACAGGGCAGCAAACATCATCCCTTCAACAATATACTTATGTTAAACCCAGTCTACAGGGCAGCAAACATCATCCCTTCAACAATATGCTAGTATTAAACCTAGTCTACAGGGCAGCAAATATCATCCCTTCAACAATATTCTAGTGTTAAACCCAGTCTACAGGGCAGCAAACATCATCCCTTCAACAATATACTTGTGTTAAACCCAGTCTACAGGGCAGCAAACATCATCCCTTCAACTATATTCTAGTGTTAAACCCAGTTTACAGGGCAGCAAACATCATCCCATCAACAATATACTTGTGTTAAACCTAGTCTACAGGGCAGCAAACATCATCCCTTCAACAATATACTTGTGTTAAACCTAGTCTACAGGGCAGCAAACATCATCCCTTCAACAATATACTTGTGATAAACCCAGTCTACAGGGCAGCAAACATCATCCCTTCAACAATATTCTAGTATTAAACCCAGTTTACAGGGCAGCAAACATCATCCCTTCAACAATATTCTAGTGTTAAACCCAGTCTACAGGGCAGCAAACATCATCCCTTCAACAATATTCTAGTGTTAAACCCAGTTTACAGGACAGCAAAGATCATCCCTTCAACAATTAAACCCAGTCTACAGGGCAGCAAACATCATCCCTTCAACAATATACTTGTGTTAAAACTTTAAAAATGTAAAAATTTGGAAGCTCCTCCATTTCCAAGGTTCAAGTGACCCTCCATGCTAAGATGGCAATGCCCGATTCACAATGGTACCATTAAAACCTTTAATTTTGTTGATCAAAAATGTGGAAGAAATTGTTGTTATCTTGGTTTAAACGTATTTAATTCTTTAGAGAAACAACAATTGAAGATAATTAGTGTTTAAAGTTATAACATTGATATCTAATTCATACTTGATAAGACAAAGGGTTAAAGGGTACTACTGTGAATCGTACAATACTATCTTTCCATAGAGAGTCACTTGAAATTATCCTTACAATCCCTTTAAATGAAAAAGGATAATATATTTCCAAAAAATTTTGCTGGAAGATAAATCAAGTACCTGTAAATAGGCTGGCAACCCTTCAATAGCTCTGGGGACTGGGAGAGACCACAGTCTGCATGAGAGCACTGAGGAGAACTCAGAGATCCGTCCCAACCTGCCTGGCATAAGCAGACAAGACAAGGGTCCTATCAAAAAAAAAATGTTGAAGATATTCTTTTTCTTTCAATTTTTTTGTTGGGTTTTTTATCTAATGCACATTATAAAGACCCAAAATAAATATTTTTTAAAGGTTTGAAAGCGGTTTGCAAATGTTTGGTGAAACTAGTTTATCTTGTAGGGATACATTTTCTCTTACCCTATATATATACTTTATTGTCTGTCTGTTTGTTGGTATCTAATAAACGTAAAAGCGGCTGAACCGATCAAGCTTAAAGTTGTTGAGGCAACTCACGTGACACAGAGAAAGTTTATGGATGCTTATAATTAAAAGATTTTGAAAATCCACGTAAAAATAATATTAGCTCCGCAAACTGTTTTGTTTGGTATTGTTTTATATTGTACAAAGAGATAGAGCCACAACTGAAATCTTAAATGGAAGATGGGTGCGAAGCGCCCTAAAAGCCTGATCTTGTAATTTACCTTGTGTGGATACATTTTCTCTCCATGTTTGTATATTTTACCATCCACTTCACATTCTCCCAACCCGTCTACTTCATCATCACATATAAACTCATCAGCACAGCAGGAATGTACACTCTTGTATTGGGGGACACATCTTAAATAAAGAATAATTGGATTACAGTAGAGGACAATACAGACGACAATGCAGAGGACAAGGAAAAAGACAATGAAGAGGACAATGAAAAAGACAATGAAGAGGACAATGCAGAGGACAATGAAAAAGACAATGAAGAGGACACTGCAGAGGACAATGAAAAAGACAATGAAGAGAACAATGCAGAGGACAATGAAAAAGACAATGAAGAGGAAAATGCAGAGGACAACGAAAAAGACAATGAAGAGGACACTGCAGAGGACAATGAAAAAGACCATGAAGAGGACAATGCAGAGGACAATGAAAAAGACAATGAAGAGGACAATGAGAAGCACAATGAGAAGGACAATGAGAAGGACAATGAGAAGGACAATGAGAAGGACAATGAGAAGGACAATGAAAAGGACATTGAGAAGGACAATGAGAAGGACAATGAAAAGGACAATGAAAAGGACAATGATAAATATTGGAAACAAATATGATATTAAGTAATTCTATCACTAAAGAGACTTATAACCTAACCAATTTATAACCCAAAATGATTAAATATCTTGAAAGTAAAAAAAGATGTTGGAATGTTTGCTAATTTAATGAATTAAGCACTTAAAGGAACTGTAAATTTTATTTTAAGTGAACCTCCATGCAAAGATGACAATGCCAGATTTTCGACTTTACCCTTTAACCGTTTATTGAGTACAGAGGGCTATGTGTGTAAATCTCTGAAATAGCGGTAGAATCGTTCTAAACAACATTACCTTCACTTCAACTTTCTTAACAAAAAATTTTGATACTTTTGACACTTTTGTTTTACCAAAAGACAATTATTGCAAATAAAAACAAATGCAAGAAAAAATATTTCAACAATATTCACCTATCAAATATTTCAACAATATTCACCTATCAAATTGAGTTTGTCTTGGATCAAAGCAGTCTACAGATGCACAGATCACCATTGCCTCATTCTCATTCTTCTGATCGCAGAAGCATCCAACCCTGCATCCGTCCTCAACAGACATATCAATTTTGTCTCCAACATTGTAGAACTTCCCAGAGGGAAATGCAGGACTGACAGCAAAGCATTTATCCAAGTTGTTCAGCCTGAAATATAACAATGAAAGCATCTATCCAAGTTTTTCAGCCTGAAATATACCAATGAAAGCATTTATCCAAGTTGTCCAGCCTAAAATATACCAATAAAAGCATAATCCAAGTTGTTCAGCCTGAAATATACCAATGAAAGCATTTATCCAAGTTGTTCAGCCTAAAATATACCAATAAAAGCATTTATCCAAGTTGTTCAGCCTGAAATATACCAATGAAAGCATTTATCCAAGTTGTTCAGCCTGAAAGATAACAATGAAAGCATCTATCCAAGTTTTTCAGCCTGAAATATACCAATGAAGGCATTTATACAAGTTGTTCAGCCTGAAATATACCAATGAAAGCATTTATACAAGTTGTTCAGCCTGAAATATACCAATGAAAGCATTTATACAAGTTGTTCAACCTGAAATATACCAATGAAAGCTAGTAACAAACAATTAATAACTGAAATTAATCCATTTCTAAGGAATTATAAGCGTAATTTCCATTAACCCTACATGCAAAGAGATGGCAGTGCCCGATTCACAACAATACCCTGAACAGCTTTGTCTGATTAAGTTTGAATTATATATCCATGTTTATCATAGCTGATTATTTCATTGCTGATTATTATTGTGGTTTCTATACATTTGCGCATTTCTACTGCAGGAAAACCCTTTACACCTATCAGACGAAAATATCTTCCACATTATTGATCAAATAAAGGTTTCAAGGGTACCTTTCTGAATCGGGCATTGCCATTTTTTCAAGGAGGGTCATTTTACATTACGCTTACAGTCCCTTTAAACCATTTACTCTACCTATTCTCCCATGAAGAGCAATCCCAGGAAGAAGGACAACATTCTCCAGCTTTAGTGATGGGTATACAGCCCTGAACATTTATTCTTTTAATTGGAAATATATTTGAGTTGCCACTTACAGTGATAACCAGAAAACAATGGAATAGGAAGACGACATTATAGCAATACTTAACTGTATTTGATGTCGATACAATGGAAATCGTTTTACTAGACCTTTAAATCGCTAATTTAGTGAAATGGGTCTGTTTACACTGCACAATTTCTGTGTCTCATGCTCATTGGACTATATAAAGTGATAACTTGATTCCGACAGTCGTCTTCCCATTTCAGAGTTTTTTTATTATCACTGTAGGAAGACGAATTTTAGACTCAAGTTATGAATTTCAATATTACGAGAACATGAGACACAGCTATTGAGCAGTGCAAATTGAGACCCATTTCATTTAATAACTATTTGCTTTGTAACAACATCAAATGCCTTGCCATAATGTCGTCTTCCTATTCCACTGCTTTCTGGATATCACTGTGTACTGTATATTTCTTTTAAGTATTTTTATCCACACTCAACATTCGAAAAGTTATATCTTTACTGGGACTAGATTTAATAAAAAGCAAAAGTGTTTGAACCACTTGGTTTAAATTAAACCACTTTCTTTTTTCTTGACCACTGACCAGGCTCAAAAAAGAACTAGAATTTAACCTGCGGTACGTGGTTCAACTACTACTTGCTCTTCATTAAACCAAATGCAAAGAAACGCGGTTCAAACATGGTTGGTTCAGGTGGAAATTTTAATAAGTGTTTCAAGATTTGAGCCTTCTCAGGTCCTTGAGAAACTTTTCCAGAACTGTAATTGCTAAACATTTCTCCTTTAATGTAGTTCAGTTGATTTGTTAAAATCTAGAGGTCTTTAAAGGGAAAAGGAACTGAGTTATTGCCACAAACTCAAATTTTCTAATCCCTTTGTCTTTGCAACCTGATTGTGTAATATTTTTATATTTCAAACTTAGACTATTTGGTGTTACATAATTTAAAGAAGGTTTCGACGTCAGATTGCAAAGATATAGGAATTTTAAAAATCGAGTTTGTGGCAAAAATGTATTTCCTTTCTTTAAAGTTTTCTGTTAAAAAAACATTACAATTTTTCAAAGAATTTGAGATACATTTAAAGGTATGTATTATTCTACAGTGAAACCCTTAATAAGGAATACATCGAAAGAATTGATCAAATGTCGTATTCTTCACTTTCTGATAATGGAATGTTGCAGATTTTTAGTTTTTTAATTAAATGATTATATGGAACTCTTTAAAACTGTTCCCACATATTCATGGCTATTTATTTATTTTTGCAAATACTGAAATTTACGTAATATAGTATAAAACTCATTGAAAAAGTGTCAAGACGACATTTGATAAAATCTTCCGATGTATTCGTTATTAAGGGTTTCACTGTAAGTTTAGATAAATTGTGTAGAGAAAATTTTTAAAAATATTAAAAATTGTCAAATCTAAAGAATTCTGCAGATATTTAATAAATTATTTGATATATTATTATTTATTCAAGTATTTTCAAGATTTTCGACCTTGGACTTTTGTAGTGTGGCCTCTCTAATATCACATGTTGTAGAACTACAATCTAAGTTAAAAAAAACTAGTTTTTAAATTGATTTTGTAATTCTCAATGTGATTAGCAAAAAGATAGACTTTGCACTTAGTAAAATATTTCAACTTGCTTTGACAACAAATTCTTAGAAAAAAATAATTGTTTTTTAAAATAGTTTTTTCCTGTGTTATCCAAGGGGGTTTCTCCCCCACATGTGTTCACGCATTCCTCCATATTTCCAAACCGGTTTTCATTCCCCTGACAACCTACAGGATTTATTATATAAGCCATGTAGAGAAGCCAAGCATTAACAAGTCAAGCTTTTAATTAGCTATTCTCTTTCTTCTTAATTTGCTTTTAATGATTGTTGCTTTCAAAAAATTTACGGAAAAAATGTTAATTAAAGTTTACGATGACTGAGTTACTGTAATATACAGAAAACATTATTGTAAAAGGGACTGTAAGTGTAATTTCAAGAGACCTTTAGTGCACTGATTTACAATCTGTTCAAAAATATTGAAGATATGGTTGTTTTTCTAACTTGATAAGTGTCTATTTTCGAAAATTTATCCAAGCTATGTACAAATCACTTTCACAGAGAAACCGCATATATATAAAAAAACAGTTAAAAGAACCAAAAACATACTTCATAGTTCATACTTGATCAGACAAAGCTTTTCATTATATTGCCATCTTTTCATGGAGGGTCACTTGAAATTACGCATACAGTCCCTTTAATAAACGGACTTTCAAAAATAAGCACTCACCTCCGTAAACAAAAGCTTCACAACGTCCAGTGAAGGAATTAAATCCAAAAGATGATTTCATTCCTCTGCAGGGGCCTTAAATAATCATTTAAACATTTTTTATTCAAATTTTTTAAAATAATTTTCAGGATTTTTATGAAGCTCCTCAAAAAGTTATTGGATGTTTTTAAAAGTAAGCACTTTTACTGAAACTATGCAAAAATCTCCTCAGAATAGATTAACCAAAAAAATACAAGAAAAATAAGAACAATTTGTTTTATTGTAGGAAAAACTAAACCTATGACATCATTTTCTCAGATTTAATATATGCTCAATGCAACCTTAGATACGTGGATGATTATTATTATAATCTATTATCTACTATAATCTATTATCTACTATAATCTATTATCTATTATAATCTATTATCTACTATAATCTATTATCTATTATAATCTATTATCTATTATAATCTATTATCTACTATAATCTATTATCTAATATAATCTATTATCTACTATAATCTATTATCTACTATAATCTGTTATCTACTATAATCTATTATCTATTATAATCTATTATCTACTATAATCTATTATCTACTATAATCTATTATCTATGTCAAGCACTTTTCAACAAGTTTTTGTTTTCTTTCTTCTATAAAAAATCAAATTAAACAGCTTCTGTTCCACTTTAATGATTTTTACTCTTTTGTTTTTAATCATATTTTCATATACAGGGTTATTCACAAAGAATGAAACTGTGAAGACTTCCTAAAACTCTTGTAATATGACAATTTAAAGGTTAAATAAAGTTTTGAAAATTGTACTATTATGGTTTATTGAAATTATTTGGTGACGATAAGGAATAAATTTAATTTAAATACCTGCTTTAATTGGCAACTGGCAAACTTCTGCGGTTCTTCCCTTTAATTCTCCACCTAAACAAGAAAACATTATTTCCGAAAGTTCAGAAAAATTAGTATTTATAATTAAGTTCAATAAAAATGATTAAAGGGACTGAAAGCGTAATTTCAAGTGACCTTAGATGCAAACATGGCAAAGCCCGATTTTCAACGGTACCCTTGAAACCTTTCTTTGGTCAATAATTTGTCGTTTTTCTGATTGAAAAAGTGTTTATAATCTGTGGATTTCTTTATTGTTATTTATTGAGAAGTGGTCAAGCAACTTTTGCAAAACACCAATCTGCACAATTACATGACAAAGCTTTTAAAGATACACGTTGTAAATCAGGCTTTGCCATCTTTGCATGGAGGGTCACTTGAATACACGCTTACAGTCCCTTTAAATATTTTTTTAAGTAGAAGACGACAAACCAGAACAGGCAGCGCGGCATTCAGATTCAGTATCAAACAAATTCTTAGTCCCGCGGCATCCACCATAGATATACTGTACACACTTTCCATCACTAGAAGAATATACATTTTAAACTTTTTTATTTAAATGAACATTTAATGAATTACAAAAAAAATTGAAGAAATCTTTATTTCAATAATAAAGTTTAAAATGTAGAAAACTGTGAATCCTAGGCTCTGGAATGGGTTATAAACAAAATGGGTTAAAAACGAAAAACGATTTTCTGATAGTTTCTTAAAATCATTTTGGTGAATATCTTTGGTCCGAATAAAAATATTGCATAATGTAATAAAAGCAAACTTGCAATTTTGAAACAGGATTCATATCTCATATTTTAGTGGAGTCTCCTAAAAGTCTAAAATATTTAAAAACTGGCTCAAAACGATTCCCATCAGTAGTTACAACTTGACCCAGAACTTGGAAAGCAATTATTCCAGCCCAATCTCTAGATAATTCAAACTAAAAAATTTCAAAGTTGAAAATATATGGAGATAAGATAATTTGGGTGTGAGGCAACGACTCAAGAACTTTGTTTCAGAATTCAATATGAATTTTATCATGTCAAATTTTTTTTGAAAATAAGGATTCTGCATTCTAAAACTACCTTGTGCTAAATGTCCACTTTGGGACCAGCGCCAAGCAACCCATTGGTCCTGGTAAAATTGGAGGCTGGGAGCAGATATTTTCATCCTTGTTTTCATTTTCCTCTCCAGCTGTTGGAAACAGGATAGATGTTGGATCCTCGGCAGCATCTTCTCCAGCACCTCTTCATTATTAAAATATTAAAGAATTTAAAAAATCTAAAAGATCCCTGCTTCCGAAAAATAAAAAGATTATGACAAATAAAAAGAAGTATAGAAAAAATGAATTTAATAATACATTGAATCCATTCTTTTCTTTAATTCTTTTCTACACAAGAAAAAAGTTGTTTTACACCTTAAAAAAGGATCTCAGATATCATATGATTTTTGAATCCTTAATATAATTTGCAATTGAATTGTGTACATTGGTTCTCTTCACATTAGGATTATCATGTCTGGCTTAATATTGTACATAGAAGCTTTCAATTCCTCTAAGACGGAATTTAATGAATTGCAAGAAGTCATTGAACTACATTGAAGCGTTTCGACCACGTATCTTTTTCTAGAACTTTGAATCTGTGTTTCAGGATTTGAATCTGTGTTTCAGGATTTGAATCTGTGTTTCAGGATTTGAATCTGTGTTTCAGGATTTGATCCTGTCAGTTCTAGAAAAGTAGCTCGGCTACTTATCTACACTTCATTATCTCCGGTCCCTGGTTGCCCGGAGGTTGTAAATATAGTTCAAGTAAACAGGAGTTTACAAAGGTATTTAGAATAGAAGGTATCCCAAAAAGACAACTTAAACAATGAATCCAATTTGGTTCCATCTAGCGGCCAATGCAATACAAATTATTAACTGCCATATTCGCCGTTAGTATGTATGAAGTTGTAATTGTGTGCATGTCAGAAATATATATTTTTTCTTTTATTGACAGACTCCTTATAAAGAGACTCAGGAGTTTTCTGGGTTTTACCTGGACCAACTTGGTGATTCTGTAGTATCTGTATTGATGCAGGTCTTGATACACTCATCCTGTGTAATATAGAGGTTCTGGGAGCCACTGCAACCACCGTAGAGATAGCTCTCACACCTTCCAACCTCACTGTTGTAAGTGAACCTGAAGTTTTACATAAGCAAAAATTAAATGATCAAAATCAAGCTTTTAGGGGAATTTTTTAATGAAATTGTGAAAAAGTTTTTTTTTTGTGGGGGAGGAATAAACATTTATCAAACTTTGTATGCGTAAAAAATACTTAAAACGTTCTCCTCATGGATTATAGCCCTGCTTTTATATTTTCTCTATTTCAAACTATTTTGATTAAATAAATTGATTAATTGCAAATGTGTCCTCGTTGGCAAATAGCACAATTAAAGTTTAGTGAACAATCATATGTGGTTCAGAATTTTATTTGAGGAGCAGTATTAGAAACAATTTCATGCTTCGTTATTCCATTCAATCTTGGCTTTTTAATACTAGTTTCTCTTCAAGTCTATATTAGAGTTTATTTACAGACAATTAAGGATGAGTATTCAGTAAATAGTTAGATAGGAAGACGTCTGTTACACATAACAATTATTGGCAATTGTGCAGTGTACCCATTTCTCTAAATAATTACTAAGTTACTAATAAAACTATTTGCTTTAGAACAAAATGAATTACACAGAAGCTGGGTTAAATGTCATCTACGTAATCCACAATTTTATGATTCCCATTGTATGGTACATAAATTAGAGAGCAGTACCTTGGAAAGATGCCAAGACAGGTTTTGTCCCCTATCAAGGGGGGAAGAGAACATATCTCAGAATTCTTAACTTCAAACTTAACCTGAATATTTAATGATAAATATAAAAAATTTATATAAATTATCTCAAAATCCGCCAAAGACCTGTTAAGCATAAACATTTAACGTACATAGCCCAACAAAAAGTAATAAATTGACAAAAATACTCAAACATCTACAGTTAACGTGCGAAAATAGGTTCAAAATTTTAAGGCTCTTTGGACTTTTAATCAAAACTTTAGTTTACCGTAAGAGGGTCCCAATCAATCCAAACCCTCTCTTATATTTTGCAAAGACTTAAAGTTAAATAGGATTCCCACAGAAAATAAGTTTTTCTAAAAATGGTGGCCGGTGCCCTTTCTTTGGCAATGGCATTATATGAAAAAAGTAAAGCTGCAGGGTGTCCCCGAAACATGACAGTTGGTGAATGGTTTAAAATGTCTTCTTACATAATAATAATATTAATAAGTTGTTTGATACCAAAGAAGAATAAAAATAATTTTATTGCAGTCATATTTTAGTAAAATTTATTTCAAAGTAAAATTAATTTAAGTTTAAGATTTTGTTATCAAAATAAACTGCAAAAATTCCTTTATATCTTATGCAGCTTATGGTAGAAGACATTCAAAACTAAATCTCAACTGTCATGTTTCGTGGTGTTCCTGTGTATCTGTCGCTTTAGGAAGCAAAAGTTAGCGATTAATTCAAATTTCAATCAAAGTTTTTTCTATATTCATTTTCATTTAAATTCAAACTATTTCTATAATTTTAATGAAAATTCAGTTTGTTTTCAAATTTGCAAATCATTCCGGAAACATAAAACCCCTTTCTGGCCCCTAACTTGCNTGTCAGAATAGTGCTGAATATCGTTTTATAAGTTCGGTATATCGTTTTATAACTTCGGTATATCGTTTTATAAGTTTGGTTAAAGTTTGCTTTCATTAAACTTTTCAATAATTTTATCTTGAAAATTGGAAAAAGAACCAAAAAGTTTCGTTTCAGCACGGTTTTGCTTCGTATAGGTTCGTTTCTGGCATATATTTCTCTCAGGGTCAAAATTTGGCATAGAAAAACAAATATTTGTAATTAAGAATTTTGAAAACTTTTGCATTTTTATGCCCGTATGCCAAATTTGGAACCTGAGATAAAATATATATAAAAAAATTAACCAAAAAGGATTAAAAACGTTTGTGTTGTAAATGTTGGAATCAAGGACTAATCACAATCAGGGGCGTGTTCAGGAATTTTTTTCATTCTGGGGGGGGCTCAGCACCCGTTGGGGCCTGAAAAACCCTTGAAATCCATATATTTCTCTGGTAAAGGGGGGGCTTAGCCCCCATAGCTTCCCCCCTAAATACGCCACTGATCACAATCTTATGCAAATCTGTGGAATATATTAATTCATTTTTGATAATATATAAATTCTTTTTATTCATAACATTCAAATTACCTTTAAATGAGCTTTACATGTTTCTTCGCATTCAGTTATACCTTAACAGACAAGTTTTAACAGAGCTGAATCAGAAATATTTCCAATTAAAAATTAACATCTCATTACTGTAATCTGAAACAATCTCAAAGAAACGACCGTGCGTTTACTGGCAATATTGCAAAATAAAATCTAAAAAATAAATTCTAGTGAAATTTTGTTTTATTTATTGTTTCCACGAAAATCAAATATTATTAAGTCTAGGTTACGGTAAAAACACTATAAAGTAAACTAGACAAAATACATGCGACATTAATGGTGCGACTTTGTGACATCGTAGCTCCTTTATTTTAGAATTTGCGTTCAAGTGAGACAAAAGAAACTTTGTCTGGATACACATTAGTAACTAAAAACATTTAAAATTTAGTTCTTACGCCCAATTTCATTAGTTTGAAATAAAAATGGTATTAAAGTTAATTACACAAATGTTCGGTTGTGATTTAGAACATTTCTTTGGTTTTATAATTACATTTTTATCAAACATTTTGTAAAAACACATTTTAGTTAAAAGATTTACCACATATTAGACTCCTTAAAAATATAAATTCTGGCTAAATTCAGGACTTATTATTGTTGAAACAATTTAAATTTTTTGGCGCCTTAAAAGATAATCTGTTACCTGAGAATCTATTTCCGTTTCCTCTGCAACCGCCGTACACCGCCGGAATACAACTTCCGGATTTAAGATCAAACTTTACCACATGTTTTTCTGCTCTGCATGGACCTGGCTACATTATAAACTATTGAGTTTTCATTGCGAATTTTCGCTAAGGACTTTGTAATTTGACATCGATTTATTTCTTTAATGTAAATACAAATCATGTGTATATTTCTTGATTAAAAGAAAGAATAAAGACACCATTTGGATAAAGTGTCCATGGTCCGGTTTATTTAAAAAAGTATAACTTTATTAAAGGGAGTGTAAGCGTAATTTCAAGTGACCCTCATGCAAAGATGGCAACGCCCCGATTACAACGCTTCAAAGCTTTGTGTGATCACGCATGAATTAGATTTCATGTTTATAAATTTAAATCTGATCATTTTTTTATTGTGATTTCTCTACAGAAGAGACTTTCTGCAAGGAAAAAATATAATAATTATCAGAATTAAACACGTTTAAGCCTAGAAAAAGACGGTATTGTCCAAGTATTTCAATGGTATTGTTGTAAATCGGAAATTGCCATCTTTGCGTAAAGTGTCACTTGAAGTTACGCTTACAGTCCCTTTAAAAGATTGAATATGTACCTGAAATGATTGTGTACAAGGATCATCTTCCTCTCCATGTACAAGTTGTACAAGAAGGACTCCTAGTTGTATTCCTAAGGAAGGGGGAGATGTAAACAAACATTTATTTATCAGAGGACACGAAACTTGAACGACGACCTGTAAATCTATAATTATATAATTTTATGTCTTTCAATTTCAACACTTGGGATGCTTTGACCGTGTTGTAAAGCATCAAAAGTATAATTTAAAAGCATTAAAAGCAACATTTGAAAGCTTCAAAATCAACCAAGCAATCAAATGTGATGCCTTACTCACTCGTTTGAGAAAATATTAACTATCCAGTCATATTATGACTGAATGAGCTCAGATTTAGGAAGCATTGCTTTTCCCTCTGATTTTCAGATAGATTAAACACTTATTTATTAATACTTATTTTGACTTAAACTCTTAACTAAATGAATTTAGAAAAAAAATACCAATTTAAGAAAGTTTTTAAAAATAAATTTGCAATTATCCAGAATAAAAAGTTTTATCAAAAATTAAACTCTATCCGGCTTATAGGACGTTTCAAAAAATATGTTAAAAATAATTTCTGACACCCCTAGACTTACTACGTCAATATAATTCACCAAAACCATATTACAGTCCTTCAATTATCATACAAGGAAATTTTCATCTTTCTAAATATCCTAGGGAAAGATTTTACACCTTCGTTGCCACAAACTCTAACCCTCATATCATTTCAACCCAAAGACCTTAAATATTTCAAACTACAAATTATGTTAGATCTTGCTAGTATGCATAATACATATATTTGAAATATCAAAGATTTACACCATCAGATTGCAAGGATATATAGATTAGTAAATTTAGGGTTCTAGCAAAGACTCTATACCTTTCCAAGTTTTTTCAAAATTTATTTAATTAAAATCTCTCTCCTTAATTTACTTGTTACATAACGACTCTAAAATTCCCAGTTTAAATCTTGTACATCAGAATTAGAAAAGTGTATTTTTGTCCCTCTACAGGGTTACCCACAAAGGATGAGACTTTTCTGAAAACCTGATTCTCCTAATAATCCACGATCTTCAGTTCTCTATTTAAAACTCATCTTTTTAATACAAAAATTCATCTGGCAATATAGAGGAGTATATATACTTCAAGTTGTAGCAAACAAGATACAGGGTGACCCAATAAACATTTAATGAGACTGTATCTTCAGAAATCTTATCAATCAAACCTTTTTTAATAACACACTTTTTCAATATATACATATAAAAGACTAGATATTGTCTGTAGGACACCCTGTATTTATGAATTAGAACGGAAAATAATATGTACACTGTACACTGTACACTGTACACTGTACACTGTACAGTCTCTTATAAGTTTCATCCTTTATGGGTGTCAAATTAAATCAATCTGTGCAATCACAAGAAAATAATCAAGAAAGTAGTCAAACCTTTTTTTAATAACACACTTTTTCAATAGATACATATAAAAGATTAAATATTGTCCCTCAACTGGCATGCCTGTGGGACACCCTGTATTTAGGAGTTAGAACGGAAAGAAATATGTACACTGTACACTGTACAGTCGCTAATAAGTTTCATCCGTTATGGGTATTCAAATCAAAGCAATCTGTGCAATCATAAGAAATAAAAGTAGTAAAAACTTTTTAAAAAGCTCATTTTTTCTTAATCTAAATGTTTGTTATTCTCCTGCCTATGAGCACTGTGCGGCTTGAAAACATTATATCGACTGCCTGTAAACTGGATTCAGCGCACTTTTAAAACATCATGCAGTTCTGCAGGGGACAATATACCTACAAATCCAACAAAAAATAAAAAGGTTCTAAAAAAGAATTAGAATTTTTCTAAATTTATTTTAAAATACATATTTTTTAATTCCTAAACACCCCTGGTGTAGAATCCCAGGATAGTCGGGGAATTTGAAAATGAAAGACGGCGCAGTTGTCTGTTGTAAAATAGATTTCGCGATATTTTTTCCAAAAGATCTTTTGTACAGGGTTGTCCTGCACGACATTTGACAGTAGCAAAGACGACGACGGTTGGCTTTGTTCTTTGAAATAAGAAGACAACTTTAGAGATAATAATCACAAAATACCCCTTACAGTTTTAAGGCGTTTTTTCTGCGTTCAATATCACAAAACTTCTTGAAAAAAATGCTTGAAATATGGCACTATGCTCACTGATTTTTTACTAAAATAAAATTTTTCTCGTCAAGAAATAGCATTAAATAATTTGAGTTGGTCGCTTTCGTCAAGCAATTCTTTAAGAATATACAGGGTGTCCCACGAAACATGACAGCTGGTGAATAGTTTTGAATGTCTTCTTCCATATACTGTATTACATATTAAGACTTTTAGCAGTTTATTTCGTTAAAAAATTCTTTTACTCAATTATGTTTTACTTTAAAATCAAATTTACCATTTTATGAATGCCATATAATATTTTTTTATTATTCTCTTTGGTATCAAACAACTTAACAAATTATGGAAGAAGACATTTAAAAGTATATTACCAACTGTCATGTTTCGTGGGACACCCTGTATAAAGAACTCTTGTCCACAATTTAGCTGATATTAATTTTGTGATCCTGCAAATTATATAGATTTGCTGTAGCAGCTGGGACATTAAGAAAATATCGCTTTGACCGGCTTGCGAGTGCACCTTTTTTATCAGAATGTATCATGGAATGTTTCCCTGTAGAAAGACAGGTTGTTTAATACCCTTAAAAAGTGATGGGATCAGGCAATGTAGCTTATTGTGTTTTTAAGGGATTTGGACTTAAGAAAGGTATAGGGGATTGAAATAATATATTTTTAATACTGTCAAAATTCATATTTGAAGTAATGTTTTAAAGAATAGTTTTTTTTCTTTAAAAAAAAATATTTTGCAAAAAGAGAAATTTCAAAACTTCAAACTGAAATAAAACTTGCCAAGAGAATGATGGCTCAAGTTTACATAATTCAATCAGACATTGTCAATATTATTGGTCCAAAATTGAGGCCCTCTACCACTGTTTTTTTGGGTCCCCTGTACAAAAATATATGTTTTTACTTTATAAATATTTGTATCTATCTATCTATCCATCTGTCTTTCTGGGTGTATGTCTGTCTGTCTATCTATCTATCTTACGCGGGACGGAGTGGATCATATGTTGTTTTACATTTGCGTCAATATAAACAATAAAAACTGGAATTCCCGCTACTTACAGTATACACCATGATGGACAGAATGAAAAGGCACAAAGGGGAAACCCTGATCAACAATTAAGAGACACACAGAGGCGGGTTGAGGTGGAATCCTCCCCCCCATCCCTCTTGGAAAATTTGAATAGCATGCAAAGGCACCATTTTCCCGCCTCCGGTCGTGTCAGGGTTTGATGTAAAAAATCACGGTTAATAAATTTTACAAAAAAAGTGTCCTCGCAAGCAATATTTCAGTTATTCCCCTTGAAATTATCGTAAGCCGCCCCTGGAGACAAGTGAGGTGGGGGCCGGATCAATACAAAAAAATCAACTTTAATTGGATTGTTCAGAGATTTTAACTTAATAGGTGGAGACCAATTGATACATAACTATGACAGTTCTCGATTTTAAGATTATTTTTTTGGATAATTAAAAAGAAGAGTAAAATATTATTATGGTGTGGAGGGAGGTTTAGAAATACTTTGCCAGATCTTGATCTTTTACAGAAAAGATCGCATTCGTCATGACCAGATTACAGAGATACAGCGAACCGGAAAAGCAAACAAGAAATTGTGTTATGTCACCATGCAATTTACGCGCAACTTTGTAAACAGTTTTTATCTTTATTGTTTTGTCATAGAATTTCAGAAGTTTGTTTGCGCAACCAACTTTGCGGGATTTCTGGATCTTTTCACAAAAATGTTCTTTAAAATAAATAGCTTTATTTCTGCATACAAAATCAAATACAGAATTTAATGGTTTTCAAACAAAACTAGAAAATGAATAATTTCTCAAAAAATGCAATATTGTAATTTAAGTCGTTTTTTTTCACCGGGTTGTTCTGGATTACTGAAGAAGAGGGTTGCTCAACTTAGACCCTGTTCCATCTCCTGTTCCATCTCCTGTTCCATCTCCTGTTCCATCTCCTGTTCCATCTCCTGTTCCATCTCCTTTTCCATCTCCTGTTCCATCTCCTGTTCCATCCCCTGTTCCATCTCCTATTCCACCTACTTCAGTTTTTGCCGAGTTTTCTTCTTTTTCAAGATTCGTGGATTTTTCATCTTGCTGCAAGTTCCCGGATTTCTTATTGTAAACGGAGTTTACATCGTCTTCTATCTTACTAGGTTCAACTGAATCTTTGGATTCAGCAGATATAGATTTGTCGTCTTCTGCTTCTGGTTTGGTAGACTCCATCTTGTCGATCTTTGGGAAGAAGTAGGGAAGATATTCGTTGTAAATATCAACATCTACTTGAAGAAACAAACAGAAGATCACTCGATCTACTTCCTAGATTTAACATAATAGTTAAATATCAACCAACCATAAAAGGCGAGTTTTTAAAATAAATGTACTGCCTGCATTTAAAAACTCTTAGAAATGTTAATAAATTGTGTGAGTACAAAAAAGTTGGCATTCAGCTGCAGCAAACTATGAATTTAAAAAAATACTGTCAAAAATCTTTCTCTGAAATATCATATGTTTTGCTTATTCCAGTGTACAGTGTACACTGTACACTGTACAGTGCGTTTTATTTAATTACTTTAAAATTATGTGAACTTTATTTTTGGATAAATTTAAGACATTTTTTGAAAAATGAAATTCATAAATTTTTCAGGAAAACAATTTTTCAAAAGACAAGAATGTTCAAGAAGTTTATTGTTCATCCTCTTTTTTACCCTTTACACAAAATTGATTTATATTCCCCCTTAAAGTAGCACTTAACATCAGGGGGAATGATTATTCATGAAAATATAACCCCTGCAAAAGAATCCTAGTAAAATAACCTGATGATGTTTTTCTAGAAAGTTCCTCACGACCCTCAGGGCCACCAAACACGCCTCCTGGTTAGGGTAACCGTATATACCGGTGCTGATGCAGGGGAACGCCTACAAACAGTAACGAATTGAAATTGGTTGTACGTCAACATACAATTTCATTTAAAACGAATCAGTATTTGAATTGAAACAATAATTTTTAAAATCTACTTAATTATTCTTTTATGTGAAAAGGAAGAATTTGAAAAATATTTGAAAGCTGGAAATGTGAATGCTGCAATATTTTCAAACAGACGACATGTACAGTGAGATCCGTAAAACTTTGGAATAGGAAGACGAAATTTAGTTAATAGTATGCAAGTACTCTAGAAATCAAGTTTATATAAAGAGAAATGAATTTGTGCACACATTGTCCTGCACAATTAAAGGGTTTTATGTTTATTGTTAATTGGACTATCTAAATTTATAACTCGAGTCCAACAGTCGTTTTAATTTTCCAGAGTTTTATGCGTCCCATTGTATGAATAATTACAATAGATCTGAGTGAGTTGTCGAGCATGATCTGTAATGAGTTGGAGTAAGCCTCCTTCAGAACATCAGGGTGTTCACCTCGTGGACCTACTGTTGATATCACATCTACGACAAAATAAATATTAAAGGAACTGTGGACATAATTTCAAGTGAGAATTGATTTGTAAAGTGTCATGTCGGATTCAGACAGTATTCTTAAAACCTTTATCGGTATAAAAATTCGTTTATATATAATAAAGTGTTTTTTTCTTATATATATGGCGGAAATCCACAAGTAGCAGATAACTCCATTATTTTTTATCAAAAAAAAAGTTTTAAAGGATACCATTGTAAATGGGGCGTGCAATTTGAAAGTCTTCAAATGGAAATTCACTTAAAACTATGTCGACAGACCAATCCAGAAAAACTTTATTTGGATTTTGAAAATATTAATCAATCTAATCTAATCAAATGAAAATGTAAATCAATCTTGTCAAATCAACTCAAATCAGACTCTCAGGGTGTCCACCTTCCCCACCCAAACTTAAATTTAAATTACATAAAAAAAATTTAGAGTAAATCAAGAAAATTATACATTTTCCGGAAAAATCTGTTTTTCATAATTGATCCAATGATATACACAGATCCAGGGTGTCTCAATAAACATGGGAATCAAGTGAAGACTTCTGAACATCGTCTTTGATCCGCGCGACATTTTACGTGAACATAATTTGATTAATATCCCAGTTTAAACTGTTATAAAATCTGCTAGTCTTGGGAATTCCAAATTGTGGTTTACCGTATTTGCACCTTCAAAATTGACGGAGATTTTAAGAAACCTGTCCAGATACCAATTTAGTAAATGACAACAAAATCGTTCAAATGTTTAATACCTCAGTCAATTTTGATGATACATTTGTCATAAAGAAGGTAGACCACATTATAGAAAGCTCATATGACGTACAATTTTTAATTTGATACACTCTTTGTAATTTCATAAATATCGGAAAGCAAAGACGATTTTCGAGTCGATTCTTAATTCCTATATTTATTGGGACACCCTGTACCATACACAAAAAATATATTCATTTGGAAAAGTAAATTATTTGAGCAAAACTATGTTTTAATAAAGATATGAATTTACATGAATTTAATAAAGATATGAATTTACAATTATGTCTTATGTGTATTACATGAAGTGTGACTGTGAACCAGTGTCATCTTTTATAAAACAGTAGGAATTATGAAACTTTAAGGGATTCTTAAAAATTAAAGACTTGCATCTCTTTATATCATTTTTTGTGTGTAATGTATTTGAACAAGAACAAGGCTTACACTTCGCTGGTAGATTGTAACCACAGCTTATCTTTGCTTCTCCATCCTAGAAAGAAAAATAATAATATGACGTTGTTTTTTTCAATCTGGATCAGTGTTAAATTCTGACAATTTTGCTTCTTTGTCTTTGCAACGTGGATCCGCAAGTCACTTCGCAAACCACAATTGTAAATTATCATTGTATGATAGAAAACCAAAAATATCTTCATCATTGTCGCTCAGGTTTAAAGGGTACCGTTCACAAACTTAACAAATTAATTGCTTTTGGAGTTAGCATATTGTCGACATTTAATCGGACAGCCAGCATTGTGAGATTAATTGCTTTTGGAGTTAGCATATTGTCGACATTTAATCGGACATCCAGCATTGTGAGATTAATTGCTTTTGGAGTTAGCATATTGTCGACATTTAATCGGACATCCAGCATACAGAGATTTCTAGTCTCCATTATAAGAAATATATGTATTATAAGCAGTGCTTAGGATCCATTTAATTTTGATGCGAATCCGGATCCGGATCCTGGGTCCGCAATGGAAAAAATGGATCCGGATCCAGGTCATTTCTTTATTGATTTACTGAATTTTTTAACAAAAAATAATTTTCAAATTTTTAGTTTTATTTTTTTTCGCATATTTTCATCCTAAAACTTGATGAACCATTCAGAAATGAGGAAATTTTTATAATCTTTCTTTTTTCAAAAATTCAGATTTGGGTTTTAGGAGTGAAAAAGTTTTTTTTTTGCAGTTTTTGGTTGATATTTTACCCCATGGATCCGGATCCGTGGATCCGCATATTTTTGCGGATCCGGATCAAGGAAGCCAAAATCTAGAGGATCCAAAGCACTAATTATAAGGAAGAAACTTCTAAAAATGCTTCGACTCAGAATTTCTTCTGGGATTTTTGGCCGCTTAAGTCTTACTTCCCTCATACAAACTTTAAATCGTCTCTTCACTGTTTAGAACAAATCCTTTCAGCTGATAACTTAAGATTTCACTTTTGTTTTCAGAATCTTATATTTTTAATTTTTTTCAACAGAAACTCAGACATTAAATAGTAAAATTTAACAATTAATTCATGTTTAACATTAGTTTTCCTTTTGCATGTTGTTTATTTTCCAAAAATAATAAAAGATTTTATTTAATAATTCATAATTTTAAAGTGCTAAAAATTACAAAAATAATTATGAAACTATTGTGTACTTTATCATTCTTCCTCACTTCATCGTGAATTTCATATTGAATGTGCTATAAAGTTAAATTAGCTGTACATAAAGTTTTGATTAATTACCGGATTTTCATTTTTTTTTAATTGAAATTTTTTTCAATTGAAATGAAAATTTAATTGAAATTAGCTGTATATTTTGACTTCTGCTTTGTTTAAAAGCTTATTTGATCTAGAAAAAGCCATTGAAATAAAGCAAGTACACAAACGTTTCATAAAATTACCTATAACACTATTATTTTGGTTCGCAGTGTTATAATGTTTTTGGACTTAAATTTTCTCTCTATTTCGAAGGTTCTCGATAAAGAAAAAATTTCTGTGCAAAAACTTTATAACACTGCGAACCAAAATAACAGTAGTTATTAAAACTTGATAAAATATTAAATATTACGAAAAAAATGTGATCTTTTATAAAACTTTGAGAGTGCGGACTAGCTTCCTTTTAGAGAATGGTGTAAAGAAGCCCCGAATTTGAATAAAAAATCTGAAATGTATTGTATTACTGCACCTCACATCCATTAAGTGTACTGTTCTCATGGAATAGATATTTGCCTGCAGCTCTATGGATTGCTCCATCCACTACAATATTATACAGGATCAGTAGGTGGTGTGGGGGGGGTTCATAAAAATTTTAAAAGACTTCAGTTAGGGTTTAAAGGAGGATTTGCCGGAAACTGTACATTATGAAGGTAAACGTTTCATTTTTTCTATCAAATCTATAATTTTTGTGCAGTAATAATAAGTTAATAAGTTGATTTTGTATCTAACCGTAAAACTGTTCTAGCATTATAAAGGGTGTGAAAGAAGATTAAAACTTTTAATCAATCATAATGAAATTATTGACCAAATTCGAATTTTTTTTTTACAATTTAGTCCTAACATCCTAAAGACATTGTGATATTAATCTCATTATGATCCAGTAAAGTCGTCTTCCTATTCCATTTCTTTATACGGCTCACTGCGAGTTTAATCTTTCTTTACCTCCTCCCCCTCCCAGTAGAGAATTGTTTGCGGCATTTACAACAGCATCAATCTCAAGGGTTGTGATGTCACCGACAAACACTGAAACCTTCTCCGACAAATCTAAATCCTAAATTCAACATAATTTAACTATTCAAAAATATCTTTTTATACCCCCTTTCATTTTTCCTTTACAGTCCCTTTAAGTGAAAGAAAATATATTTAAAACACCGATTTTTTAAAAAATACCTGAAGCTTAAATTCTGCTCTCAGAAATTTCTGAAGATCTTTTTTGTTGATGGAAGGCCCTTTACCTTTCTTAGCAGGCTTTAATACACTTTTCTAAATCTAAATCTAATAAATCTGAATTACTTCATTCAACTTCTAAGCAAATGTAAATAGTATTTTTTAATTGTTCAGGGGGGTTTAAATGTATTAATACTAATACAATATCTTTTTTAAATAATTAAAATAATTATTAGAAACTATTCCTTGTTAAGCTTTTCTTTATACAGTAGATCCTTCTTCAAGGTGTTTATATCCTTTAGAGGTATATATCTACTCCCACAAGAATATTCCTAAATATTATCCTTTAGAGGTATAAACTTACTCCCACAAGAATATTCCTAAATATTATCCTTTAGAGGTATATATCTACTCCCACAAGAATATTCCTAAATATTATCCTTTAGAGGTATATATCTATTCCCAAAAGAATATTCCTAAATATTATCCTTTAGAGGTATATATCTAGTAATCTACTCCCACAAGAATATTCCTAAATATTATCCTTTAGAGGTATATATCTACTCCCACAAGAGTATTACTAAATATTATCCTTTAAGGGTATATATCTATTCCCACAAGAGTATTCCTAAATATTTTCCTTTAGAGGTATATATCTACTCCCACAAGAATATTCCTAAATATTATCCTTTAGAGGTATATATCTACTCCCACAAGAATATTCCTAAATATTATACTTTAGAGGTATATACTTACTCCTACAAGAGTATTACTAAATATTATCCTTTTGAGGTATATACCTACTCCCACAAGGGTAAATACCTTAATATCATACTTTAGAGGTAAATATGTACTACCTCATAAGTATTCCTAATATTTAGGAATACTTATCTTTAGACTTAAGTTTTCACGTTGGAATGAAATAAGAATAGAAGAACATGGCCATCTAGTAATTTAAAATCACACACAGTCCCTTTAAAGGAAGATAGGAATAGTTTACCTTTCTTCGTGCCTCTAAACTCAACTTCAACTTTCTCTCCTTTCCATTTATATTTTTGTTTAAATGAATTTTGAGTTCTTTGCATCTAAAATTTCAATAAAAAGTTTTCTTTCAAGATTTATTTTTATCAAATCAGCTTTTAACGTACAATCAATTTGTTTATAATTAATATTGCACACAATTTAATTTTGGGTTTCATAAAAATTTGTGTACAATTTGTTTGATTTTGTTCACTTTAAATATTGTGTAGATGTAACATTTTGTTCACATAATTGTGTGTACATAAGATTTGATGTGAAATTACTTTACTGAAATATTGAAATGTATACACCTGTAAATTAATTATGTGTTCAATGAATACTTTGTACATTTGATGCTGTGTTAAAGTTAAGTACAGTAAATTTCACGTTACCACTGATATTGTGTGCAATATATTTTTATAAAGGGTCCGCCAAATATTTTTTTTTGAAAATGCTATTAAAAAAACTACTGAATATTTTCTCAAATTTATTTTTTTTATTTGAAAGTACAATCCTTCCGGTTAATCATGGAAAATAATTTCATTCAAATGGCCGCCTCGGCTGGCCATGCAGTAGCCTACATGATCGGTCCAATTTTTAAGCACATTATCGATTGTGTGCACAGCTGTATTTCACCAATGGCTTCACGAACATTGTCCTTTAAAGCGTCAAATGTCTCTGGCTTGTCGGCGTAACATTTATCTTTGAGGGCACCCCACAAAACATCGAGTGTAGCTTAATTGTACCGATCGTGTAGGCTACTGCATGGCCAGCCGAGGCGGCCATTTGAATGAAATTATTGTCCATGATTAACCGGAAGGATTGTACTTTCAAATAAAAAAATTAATTTGAGAAAATATTCAGTAGTTTTTTATAACATTTTCAAAAAAGAAGTTATTTGGCGGACCCTTTACAATTTGTTTTAAATTAAATGAATTTTCCTTCTCGGCGATCCAGCTGGACGGCATTGTGGAATTCTTTCGTAGCCGAGTATCCGTGGACATTCTAAATTTTAAAAATCAGTTGACTAACAACTACAGGGTGTCCCAATAATTATGGGTATAATTTGTCTCTGAAATGTTTATTGGGACACCCTGGGCCTGTACTGGAACTGCTCAGCACAATTATTCTGAGGTCAGAACTTTTGTGTTGTTAATCCTTGGATCAAGCATTAATCCGTATCTTCTAGTCGTCCAAAGGATTAAATCCCGTGGTCGGTGGAATAACCAAAAATAAGGGATCAAGCACTGATCCTTGTAATTCAAAAACCCGTAACGAGATTTATTATAAAATAATAATATATTATATTACTAACTCTTTCCTAACACAAACAAATATCATTTTGCGTAGAAATTAAGCTCACTTAGTTCAGCCGTATTGGAATATAAGTTGGCCTTCTTGTTTATATTTCCATTAATGACATACAGTAGTCAACGATTATATCAATACAATAAAGACGACTTTTCTATTAAAGTTTTTTCATATAACAAGTTTACAAGTAAACAAAGAAAAGCTGTTAATTGGCAGCTTCTCTTAATTTCCATGTTTATGTGTATCCATGCTGTTTTAAAGCTTAGTAGAATTATCAAAATTGAAATCGAAAGTCGTCTTCATTGTATTGATTTATACGACTACTGTAAGTGTAAACTTTAAATTCTAGACTACCTCGGTATATTCAGATTGGACAGAAATCTGTTGAATCTCAGCACTACTAATGTCTGAAACATTTTTATATTGAAGGGACTGTTGACGTAATTTTAATACTAAAGGGACTGTTGACGTAATTTTAATATCAATCATTTATTTGAAGAGTTGTATGCCCGATCTACATTGGCACCCTAAAATCCTTTGTTGGTTTAAAGATGAATTAAATATCTTTAATTGTCAAGTTGAAAAATTGTTAATTGTACGTGTTTTTACTTCGGAGACAATGAAGGAAGTTTACAGAATTTACAGAATAGAAAAATGCCACACAAATATTAGATAAATTTCAAGGATTGGCGTCTGGAAAAATATTTAATCAACAAGATATCAAAACATGAATAAAATATTCCATAATTGAAGTAAAAAAAATTTATAAGATCTGACAATACAAAATCTGACAAAAAAGATATAAATTTAGTTAGACCAATAAATAATATATTTATTCAGCTAAGGTCTTAGGGCTGAACTTGTGCAATGTTAATCGCTCCAGAAATCACCAAATCTTAGCTTTTGTAGTCTGGCGAGTTAACTTGAATCCTGGTGGATATTTATAACCTTAAAAGGTTGCATTTCTGTCCAGATTTACGGATTAAATCGATTCAAATCAAAAGTTTTCATTGTGAATATATTATGTTGAGAAATTTCATAGAAATACATTTGATAGATACACAGATGGACATTTCGTACACAGAACGTTTAATAGACAGGACTAGACATGGCATTTAAGAGCTGGACATTCACATTGAACATCTCATAGATAAGATGTTTCATAGACATGAAATTTCAGAGAAGACAAGTCTTAGACAAGACATTTCATAAACCTAATATCTAATAGACAGGATATTTTATAGATAAGACATTTCATAAACCTAATATTTAATAGACAGGATATTTTATAGATAAGATATTTCAAGGACGAAGAAGATTTTTATTTCTATTTAAAATTATTATTCTTAATTTTATTTTACACTATTGTTTGAAGGATCTAAGAAAACAGATTTTTCTCTGCCTATTAATTGGCATGTCTATAAAATGTCTTATCCATGAAAGTCCCATCTCTGAGTGTGTCTCATCTAAATATGAAATATATATATGTCTGGTATGTTTGTTTGTAACCGATAAACGTCAAAACGGCTGAATTGATCGGGCCAACATTTTGTGAGGGACCTCACATGACCCCAGGGAAGGTTAATGGAACATCAAATTTGGAGAGTAAAATAATCCTGGAAAATAGTTGGATTTTTTTACAACGCACCAATTCTAAAAGAAAAATCTGCTAAAATTTTAAAATGTTTTAAAATGATTGATTTTCAGGAAAGGAAGCGCGGAGCGCCCTAAAAGCAAAGTATCTCATACTCATAAAATAAATTAAGTACTCTAAGGATCAATTCATCAATTATAATATCAACCCTTTCTTATCCATACATACCATTTAAATTACCTTATGTATCAACAGAATCTATTTTTCGGCCATTTAATTATCTGAAATTACATGGAATTATATTCATATTCAATTGTCATATGATATCCTAATTTCAAGTCAAAACTTTTGCGTGAAAGGTCCCTAAATTAGATCTCGATATTCATTGTGACATTTACTAATGTGAATTGTATATTTACTGATGTGAATTGTATATTTACTGATGTAAATTGTATCTTTACCGATGTGAATTGTATATTTACTGATGTAAATTGTATATTTACTGATGTGAATTGTATAGTTACTGATGTGAATTGTATATTTACTGATGTGAATTGTATAGTTACTGATGTGAATTGTATAGTTACTGATGAGAATTGTATATTTACTGATGTGAATTGTATATTTACTGATGTGAAGTAACATTTATCTGATGAGAAATGTGTATTCACTGATGTAAAATACATTTATATGATGGAAATTGCATATTTACACTGATGAACTTTTTAATAGGTGTTTAAGTCTGGAGCCCTCAATTTTAGTAGTTCTATCCGAATTTGGTCACCACAGGATATCCAACAGGATTAAATTTAATTCAAAGGATACCATCTTGATCCTTGGATTACAAACACAAGAGTTTTGTCCTCTGGGGCCGAATTTAATGAATTTGAGCCAGTCCGCTGAACTATCTACTGCCGGTTCAAATTTGAACCACCGACTCAAAGTTAAAGATTAAGGAAGGATTACTACCGGCAGTAGGCAGTTCAAAATTAAACTTAGTTCCGGGACGTTCTCCTTATATATAAACGTTTTACTTAAATTTGGACGGAAATTATTTAAACAGTGCAGGTACAGGTACAACAATTACTTTGTAAACATACAATATTGGACTATTAAATTTTATTTAAAAGTTCATGAAATTTTTTAACACCAGGGATCTGTTGCACAATCGCTAACTTCTTGATTTTATTTAAAAGCATCACTTCTAACTATAACCAACTTTTAGAAGAATGGTCGGCATTTGTAAGCAAAAGTTTTAGGATTTCAAAAAAAATTTACAATACTTAGAAGATTTTCTGATTTCTCTTGCTTAAAAAGTTAACATGACATATTTTGAGATTTTTTTTTAAAAACCGGTTTGAAGTAAAACTATTTTCTAACATCATTTTTTTTATTTTGTCCTTTGCCTATATAAATTCCTGAACAGTCTCTTTACCGAGATCAGATTTTGGTTCAGCAGGTACATAGAATAATTAATTACTAAAACATTGAAATAATCATAAAAAAAAGATTATTTTAACTTTGCTATACATATACAAAGACATATTGAAAGAATGGAACCATTAGAATGACAAATTATTCATTAAAGTTAAAAAGAACTTGGAATCCTAAAATGAGAACGAAGCTTGGTGCTGGGAAATTTTTTCTTTTATCATTTTAAATGCTTTGAATCCATTTTTTAACAAGCATAAGAATCAAAATCCTTTTTTTCGCAATTTGTTGCTGGATTAATTCAGAGATTAGAGCTGGGAACTTTTGTATTGAATGGATATCCATAATCCCGACAGCTTGATCTCGATATCCACAGTGGGCACTTCAGGATTTTAAATCTGTTTGATCCCTTGATTTTGGATTCTCTGTTCTTTCATTGGTTGAACGCAAAATTCTTTTGCTTCTGATTGGCTGCTCGTTTTCGCACTTGACGGGATATAGATTAACTTAATTAAATTATTATGTAGATTAAAAACCGATCTAGATAAAGCATTGACCTTCAGGAGAATTCAATTATCGCCCATTAACTGAAAAACAGTTGAGTTTTTAAAGCAAAAAGTGATGGTGCTTTTTTGCAGTCTTGATTAATGTTTTTTATTTAGTCCGGATCCAGAAAGCTCAAATGTTGCAGATCCAATTCAAAAACTAAATTCTAAGCGCTGGTACTGCGTAACTGCATGCTACTGAAGAACCTTGAAAAAGTATTGAATCTCTAGAGGTCCATCCTCTGGTAGATCTGTACAATGAACTCCATTCTGTACACAGTTCAGGCCAAACCTTGCTCGTAGGGAACCGGGGCGAAGCTTACGAGCTATATCAGGATCTCTGGGACCTAAAGAAGTATGTTTCGTGTTATAGATTGGAATCAGAATAATTTACTTTTTAGGATTTTAATTAAATATTTCAGAATAAAATCTCTCCCTGATATGCTACATATGTCCGATACAGAACGGAACCCATGACAACTTCTGTCTGATCAAGGATGAATTAGACGTAAATTTATTATATTCAATTGTGGTTTCTCTAAAAGAGTATTTTTTAAATAGAAAAATTCCGATATCTTCATTATTGTTACTTTAACAGATTTAGAGGTTACCGCGTTGTGAAACCAACATGCCTCGAGTTTTTTTAATAATAATTGGTCACTTGATATATTCCATCCCCCCTCCCCCTCCTCTCCCATCTTCTCAGGCTTACTTACCTGTGAACTCTCTGAATGTTTCAACAGTAGAACCATTAGTTATTTGGTTATCCTCCGTCTCCATTGCGATTTCTGTAAAATAGATCATTTCAACGTTGATATTAACTTTAATTTTAATTTAAACGCTATCGGTGGAATGGAATGAAACTAAAATTATTAATATTTGAACACAGGTAAATATCTTTAAAAATTTTAGATTTCTTACCTTTTTTTAAGAACAATTCAATGTTTCAATTTAAATTGTGAAAATGTTTAAAGTCATTCGGCCATTTTAATTAATTTGGAATAAAAGGTTTATAAATACTAAGGCTGCGGCCTGGACCGACAAGGCTATGGCTGATGCTGCGGCCAGGACAGACAAGACTAGGGCTAAAGCTGCGGGTAGGACCAACAAGGCTAGGGCTGATACTGCGGCCAGGACAGACCTGGCTCGCTAGAATGTCCATTAAATTACCTAAAGCAATACACATTCCAGAACATAGTTCCTTCACCATATCACCGTAGTAGTCAACAACATTCTAAACAGTTTAAAACGGGTTAAAAGGACTGTAGTTTTAATTTTTAAGTGATCCTTCATTTAAATAGATGCGGGCATGCCGTGTGCATGGCCTTGATCATGCTTGAAGAATGATTTATTCTGACAATTTCCTTGTTGTTTCCTAAGAAGAAATCGGCGCAAGTCACATTTAAAATGAAACCACAATTGAAAATTTCAAAAAGGACATTGATGGACATCTCTTGCTCAGGTACAGCTTCTAAAGGGAATGACCGGTAATGTATAGTAGTTGAATTAAGAATGCAGATTGTGGAGAAATTCTTTAGGATTCCTTTAGGACTTAGGAGACGTTTTTCGAATGGATGACAATAAAAAATCAATGTCATAAAAAGCTTTTTTTAATAAATCTTTCTCTATTTTGCCAGTATATTCTGCAGTAAAAGTAATCCGATCGTCATTGTTTTAAATTTTAAATTGTTTTTTGTGTTCAACAAATTCTTAATCCAGAGGCCGAATTATAAGAATTTGAACCGCGGCTTAAACTTGAGAGTAAGACACGACTCAAACATAGTTGGTTACAATTGTATTCAATGCTTCAAGATTTAAGCAGGCGCTCAATTGAAACCGGCTTTTGGGGGATTTTGTAAGATCTGAGGATCTTTATAAACTAATGTGTGTTCAGGGTATTCAGCGACAAGACGTTACTCAGTGTGTTCAGCAGGGAATTCTCTGCAAACAATCAATCAACACGGAACTCTACAAGCACAATTTCCTATTAATCAATCACATATTCAATTCTATATAATTAATTGAGATTTTTGATGTATAACTATATAAAGGCCAATTTTTATAATGAATAACCTGATTTTGTTTTACAATGCAGAACCTGAGTTTTATGGTTGAAATGTTTTATGATTTAACATATATATATAATATTTAGCCAAAACCTATATACTGTCTCGCCAAAGCCTAATTAAAGCCTAGTCTAAAGCCTCAAAAAACTGTAAATAATGAGTTTTATCTTTCAGAACACAATGGGTTAGTTGCCCCCTTCTAACCTGAAATTGTGTCTCTTTCTCCAGGTCTATAAATCATCCGTAATAAATACCAAGGCTAATAAACGTTGAATGCTCTTTACACAACGTTGCAAAGTTTTTATTCCTACGGATGGTTTATAAAATATATGTAGATAATTGTGATTGTTGTGATTCCTCAAAATAGTTCCGGGCTCGTTATACCTCTACGTACCAGGCCTGCACAACTTTGGCTTAGTTGTACCTTCTTCGTTAGTTTCTCCGACGAGAAGAACTCTTGCTCCCCTCCGATACCTCCACGGAAGGGCTCTAATTCTGTATCCCTGGTCTAGCTCCTCCTCTAGATCAAATACAGGTAATAAATCTAAAAAATCACGATGCTTGTGATAAATGTGAGAAAGTCACCACTTGAAAAAGGATATTTGAAGTGACACATGAAAACTTCGATTGGACTAAATAAGCTCATTTTTAGTTATCCTGTTCGCGACTGCGGTGCAATTTAATGAACTATAGGCTACAAACCTCTGGACAAATCAACATTGTAAGTTTGTTTTCTTATTATATAAATAATTTAATAGTTAACCTGGAGAAAGTTTTATTTTAAAGGCTAAAATTTTATTATTGTCATGCATATAATTAACCCTGAACTGATTTATTGTGTTTCAGTTCACGGTTGAGTCCTGTATAAACTGCCTACCTGAAATATATACAAAGATTAAATCAGTGCAAATTGAGGTGAGCCGAAGAGAAAAGAGTTCTACGCTCAACTCTTTATGTTTGTAGTTATTACCTGGTTCCTAAAGGTAAAATTGAGCATAGATTTAAGACGCGGCACAAATTCATTAAATTCGTACTCAGTCCCGTTAAAACTTTGAAAAATCTCTATTCCTTGTTTACCTTGTAAATCTCCAGGAACTCCTCTGCCTTCCCAAAATGAAGATTAAAAGATTGAAATCCCGAAATCCTAAAATAAAATAATTAAATAACGTTTTCAATGTTTCTAAAATCTAAAGACATTTCTTCAATGCTATTGGTTATACCTTAACGTTAAATAATTACTTAAAACTCTGGAGGATATTGTTGGTAGAAAATAACAGAAGATCTATAATAATGGGATGTGTTCAAGACAAAGTAGCGTTTACAAAAAAGGAAATGGCGTCTCTTTACCTGAAACCGGCCTCCTGAATAGCATCCACTATTTCTCCAACTCGCCTTGAATAAAAGAGCTGTATTTATTTAATATTTATAACCGAAAATGTTCTATTTATAATGTAGCCATTGAGTTTTCGATATATAATTTTGATACACGACTTGGCTATATCCTTTTCATTTTTCCTCACTGATTCGGCTCATCTATTTTCCCAGAGTTCAGCTTGTGAAGCATGTACTGTACTGTACTGTACTGTACTGTACTGTACTGTACTGTACTGTACTGTACTGTACTGTACTGTACTGTACTGTACTGTACTGTACTGTACTGTACTGTACTGTACTGTACTGTACTGTACTGTACTGTACTGTACTGTACTATACTGTACTGTACCTGTCCTTGACAGCGTGTGGCATGATGACACAGCAAGTAGTATTATTAAACTCTGCAGATGCCGCCAATCTAAAGTTTTCAACGCTGATAAAAATGTGTTTATAATTCATCAATCGATTGTAAATACGGGAATTTTCAATCAAAAAGATGTTTCACAGTTTCAAAAGTTAGTCAGCGTTATCGAAATCATTTATCTGCTTTAAAGAGAACCCGAAGCCGATTATGTCAATTTTTAGGCAGCAAATAAGGATATTTCAACCTTTTTGTTTCATATGTAAGCGTTTAACAAGAACTACTCTGAATCTCTTTTTGGCAAAGTATTTTTACCGTATCCTCACCACTCCTAGTTTCAAATATATGTATATGTTTTGCAGTGCAGAAACAATAAAAAAAATGAGTGAAATGATAAAAATCTTATTTAAATAAAAATTCTAAAAAATTTGTACCTGAGCCCTGGATTTGGATTCGGTTTATCCGGGAAGAAAATGTTAATGTCTTGCTGAGCTTGAGCTGCAGAGCTTGAACTATATCCAACATTCTCAATCTCATTCAAACCAAACCTAGGAATATAAAACAAAGACAACTTAAAGACTTTCATCTTGTATGTTTGTGGAGAAAGACTTTACTTTTTGGCAGATTTTATGGACCAAGACAATACTTGCCGCAGATTGTATGAACTAAAATACAATTTTTGGCAGATTTATACTCTTAAAGTGGCATTGTTCACCCGGAGTATTTAAAGATGAACCCATGGACTAGGATTAAGAACAGTAAAGGGACTGTACCTTGCTCTGATACTGTTTAAATTATTATCTCTATCTAACTGCGGATCCACATTTCCCAACCCTGAGTTCCATTTCTCTACGGCATTCTCCCCAACCAAAACTAGAAATAACAAATAATTAGAAATTCCTATACATCAAAATTTGCAAATTTAATACAACTGCTCCTCCTACCTAGTTCGATGATTTATACTTCCCATAAGCTTTTTCCCACGCAGCAATTTCCCAAGGGTAATTTCCCAAGTGGCAACTTCCCAAATCTGCAGCGCTCAGTCCCTTAATCTTTCCCTATCCTAGCCGTAACGCTCGGCCCCGTTGCAGCCTATGGCACCTAGAGGGCCTAACCTATCCTATAGGAAGTCGCCGCACGGAAAATTGAACATTTAGGAAGTTGCCACTGGGAAATAGTCACTTGGGAAAATGCCTTTGGGAAAATAGCTAGCATCCCTAACTGTAACAATATTTACAAGATCCTAGAATATATCCCCCCACCCCTCCTCCTACCTGGTACAAGAGATGGTCCTCCCCCCCTCTCCTACCTGGTACATAATGTGGTCCTCCAATAACACTCCTACCTAGTAGAAGAAATGGTCCTCCTGTAACACTATTTACACTCCTACCTAGTACAAGAGATGGTCCTCCTGTAACACTATTTACACTCCTACCTAGTACAAGAGATGGTCCTCCTGTAACACTATTTACACTCCTACCTAGTACAAGAGGTGGTCCTCCTATAACACTTCTACCTAGTACAAGAGATGGTCCTCCTGTAACACTATTTACACTCCTACCTAGTACAAGAGATGGTCCTCCAGTAACACTATTTACACTCCTACCTAGTACAAGAGATGGTCCTCCTATAACACTCCTACCTAGTACAAGAGATGGTCCTCCTGTAACACTATTTACAAGATCCTGGAATATATCAGAACTACGATATTCTTCATATATACACTCGGCAGCTACGCCTGAACAGTGAACTTGTTTAATGTTAGATCTGAACAATGAACATCCTATTGAGGGTATATATTCTATATATTCTATTCAATGATAATTTTTTAACTCCTCTCAATGGAAATCATTTTTCCGCAGATGATTGGATTTTTTTGTACACCGAAAATTAGGGGGAGGACACTTTGGGGTAAAGAATATCAGTAATAGTTGCATGATGTCAAATTTATCTTTTGATCCCCTAATGATATAAACCCCTTAACTTTATTTTTGCCGTTTTTTTCAACATTCATGGTAAACCGTAAATGACGTCAAAAATGGATTTGAGGCGATTGGAGACATGTTTACCAAAGTTTATTAACAAAAAAAGGGGCAATGTGTTTACAAATAAGTGAACGTTCCCTTAAAAATGAAAATTTAACCTGTTAGCTGTGTTAGTTTAGCTTTCCCTATTGTGAGCCCGTTATTATAAATTTCTGTCAAAATCTTTCCAGCTTCTCTGAAACAAAATGAGAATGTGGCTTTTCTAGATTTTTCTTCACATTATTGTGACACTGTAACCGTAATATTGAAGGAAACAAAAAAGAAAAAATCCTTGTTTTTCTTTCTGAAATTAACAACAAGCATTTTAACCATAAAGCAAAAACCAAATAGGAACAAAGGCTTTTTCCGATAAGAGCGTTTCAGGGTTGTGTGTCAGCGTATGCATAAGGGGGGAACCTGATCGTGGCTGGATTTAACTAGGTATATGACTAGAGCACTCTCGTCCACACTAGAAAAGTATTTAAATTTTACTGTATAGGTTGGAGACGATTCGGTAAACCCTATAGATGATGTAAGACTCAAGATGAAGATAGAGAAACGAGATTCAATCTGCATTTATATTGATCTTGTTTTTTGTAAATTTTTAAACAATTATTTACTTAAAAATCTTCACAACCACATAAATTAAAACTCATTCTTAAAACTTAAATGCAAACTTTTAAGTTAATTTTTTACCTAAAACCATGGATTTTATTAAAAATATTTAACCAATATTGATCAAATATTAAACCTTTCTTTTGCTTTTCTTAAAAAAAATATTAATTTTTTTTTATATTTCAGTTTTCACCTGTTTTGGAATTACAGTCTACAAATAAATTCTAAACTGACAAGAGTTCTAATCCGAGTGATCAAGAGCTTTGTCATTTCTTCAGGGTGCATTGGTTGTGCCCGTTCGTAAAGTGGGAGCACAAACATTAACTTTTTTGAAAGAATCAGCTTTTGGTTGGCAACCACATAGTGGTTCAACTATCTGCTCCTAGTTTAACTAACTCTTCGAAAATTCCGAACTCGAGTACCTGGTACTAGATGGTTTAATGAGAGCTAGTGTGGATTCCGAACTCGAGTACCTGGTACTAGATGGTTTAATGAGAGCTAGTGTGGATTCCGAACTCGAGTACCTGGTACTAGATGGTTTAATGAGAGCTAGTGTGGATTGTTGAACTGTTCCAACTCTAAGTTTTGTTTCTTCATCGCCATAATCAAAAATCGTCAACTTCCTAAAGATCAGTTATTTTTCAAAATGAGCAAACAATGAATTCAATAAACTTGTTATCACATAGCTTGCAATAAGTCATTAAAGGCTCCTGTTTAAAAAAGTTATACGTTCATAATTTAAGGGGGGGGGGGGAAGTATCATTAAATTTTCAAATAATACAATCTCACAAATGACTTTAAATCATATACAAATAAAATAAAATATTAAAACATTAGTCCGATATTTAGGGGGATGTGCGATTGGAAGAAAAACAACGAAACACACCTGGAGAGAACGGTTACAGTATTTCCTAAAAACAGATCTTCCTCCTTCATCAATCAATCAATCAATCAATCAATCAATCAATCAATCAATCAATCAACCAACCAACCAACCAACCAACCAACCAACCATTCATCCAACCAAGATATAAAAAAAGTTTTTGACTCAATCAATCAATCAAAACATTAGACCAAAAGTGCAATCAATAAAAAGTAATTAATTTCATTATCTTGTGAAACAAGAAATTACAGTATAAAATTCATTCGTCAGTCTAACAATCAATAATAATATTAATCGATTTGTAAATCAATAAACAATTTAAATCCCGTCAAACACAACAAAAAACTTGACTGTTTTGTCAATTTTAAAGCTTTGATTGAATTCCTTGATTTCTTGTGTTTTAATTTTTCTCAGGAATATTTTCTTGTTTTTAGTTTCTATCATTTCAATATTTGATTCTCTGTATCCAAGTTCATATTGTTATTAGCGTGCTATCTAACTCTAACTTTGTTTAAAAGGAGGGATGCGCAATAAAAATCTCAAAATGAAAGTTAGCATAATTTCAAGTGAACCTACATTTATAAAAAGAAGGGAATGTCCGATTCACAACGGTATCTTTAAAACTTTAATCTGAACATGGAAGATGACGTGTTTCTAGTTTGCTTTACATAGCACGTTCTAACGAATATATTCCTGATCCAGAAAATGAGGATAAACTCTCTCTCTCTGCTGGAGACATCGTCGAACCAGGAGACCAAGAAACTGATGGGACAAGTTCGAGTTAGGAAAATTATTTTTGGGATTCTTGTACACATCTAGTATTTGGCAATTTTATCACTTTTTTTAGTGAAAAAGAAATGTATCGAATCCAACTAAGGAAAAATACTGACCATATCGAGTACAGTTCTGGGGCTCTTTATGCATCAGGTTTGATCCGGTGTCCTGCATGGAGTGGACTCGACCCCTAAAGTTTTAACCGTTTTAGCACAATGTTATCCATTAAAAGAAATTTTAAAACATTAAACATTATTAGTTGACATAAATTAATACAAATTTAGTTCTTAAATGTATTTCAAAGGGGGTGAAGGCAATAAAAGGTTTATTACTCTTGAATGTTGTTTTCCTTTCAAATTATCAAACAATTAATATTCACTCGAGAAATAGATAACTTTTGATCATAGTACATTAATAAATATAGGAAAATGTCAAACTATTTCTTTTATGTCTAACATTTTGTTGAAATGAGTAAAACTTAAGGGGTAGTCCGCCTCATGCAAGAGTCCGCTCCATGCATGACACTGGGTTTAAAAACCTTTTTGTTTTTACATTTCAGCTGGTCTGACTACCTAAAAATCTACATTTTAGATGGCTCCCTAAAAATCTTCTCAGCCCCAGATTATGATAATTTTACTTCTCGCAAAGTATTAGCTCCAATGCAACATGACGTTATCATATTATTGGTTTTGCTTAAAGGGACCGTTCACTTATTTGGATAATTTGAGGGTTAAACAAAAAGGTTTATTAGCTACTCATTGTTATTAGTCAACTGTGGCCTGAGAAAAAGCCGATTTATCATTCGAAATTCCAGCGCAAAGGTATGATACCTTTGCATTTACACTATTTTATGCTTTTTGTCATAGTCATAGATTTTTTAAAAAAATTCAAACAATTAAATAAATTGTATTGTCTAATAGTTAATTGTAGATATCTTTAATTTTTTTCAAAATTATTTTTTAATTGTCTATTTTCAAAATATAACTTAATTTAAACATTTGATAGTTTGATACATTTTTCCTACTTCCCCAAGAATCCCTGTGATTTATTGACCAAGGAATCGGTTTCTCCGAGAGAGAAAGTCGTCTTTGTATAAGCGTGTTGATTTTTAAATCATATTTAAACAAGAAAAACGTTAATTTCCTCCTAATTCTAAAATCAAAAGGTTTTATATTTTATTATACAATGGCTGACACATGATGTCATTAAAATATGATAATTTTAATCTTATTGGGCTGACGTTCCTGAAAAAAAACGATTAATTTTAAAGTTCGGTGATGGTGATGGACCAAACCTCTGTAGAGTAAAAAAGTAGATGTTAGTTCCACATATATTAAAAATATATTTCGGTCTGGAAATAGTGTCATACCTTTCCGCTGGAATTCTAACCGATAAATCGACTTTTTCTCCGGTCATAAATATCTTCGGAAAGTAAAATTTTAGATTTAATTGGGCTGTTGTTCCTGAAAAAAAAAACGGTTAAATAGTGTCATACCTTGTCGCTAGAATTCTAAACGATAAATCGGCTTTTTCTTCGGTCATAGATATATTTAAACGGTAAGACTAATAGCAATGAATAGCTTATAGGCTAATTAGTTTACCATGAAATTCCCAAATAAGTTAACGGTCGCATTAAAGCAGTCAGCGTCCGAATTTAATGAATTTGAGCCGCGTCTCAAATTCTTTAAATTAGGCCTTGGAAAGTTTTAAAGGGACTGGAAGCAAAATTTTAAGTGACCCTCCGTTCAAACCAAAAAAAGGGCATAGCCGATTCACAACGGTTGCCTTGAAAACGTTATCTGATCAATAAGGATAAAGATAATGACGTTTTTATTCCTTGCTTAAAATAATTCATTTCTGATAAAATTCTTACACTGTTTTCTTGCAATAAAAATGCTCAAAAAATAAAATAATCATGTCTAATTTAACTTAATCACACAAAGATTTTTAAGGATTTAATTGTGAATTAGGCAATTCTATTGTAGTGTTACTTGAAATTCCGTTCTTATTTTGGTCTCAAAACCAGTAAGTGATTCAAGAAAATCATTTTATCTTATCGTACTCGACATATCAGTCGATCAGCTTGCTTATTATAGTACAAAAAAATATTTACGAAATTATATTTAACAATAATTCATTTAAACTTCTTATCTAATAAATCGTGAAGCCCGTCATAAATGAAATATAAAGCGGCAAGGAGAGAAGCTGAAAGATGTTTTATGCTTACGGTAGAGAAGATAAAGTCTGAAATGGGGGGTAAGCATTTAATTTGGGGCAAAAGCACAAGGGACACCAACAAACATAAAAACTGACATTACTACTTGATAGAACAAGAAACAGATGCGGACTCGAACATTCCTAATAGTTTCTTGCTCCGGCATTTTCTATATTTGTATCTGAAACCAAAGACTAACAAATCAAAATGATTAAAAAGATATTTATTAGGATCCGAAACCGATTTAATATTAAAAGTTAGCATGACATGAAATAATAATTATAAAATAATTACTATCTACGTGGTGTAGCTTGTAAAAGATATTGTGGTGGTGTCTTGAAGAATTGATTTGTGTTTTCATCTGGATAAAGGAGACACCTAGCGGTCATATTTTCAGTTAAATACCGTCAATATCATCGCCCAGGTTGTCGTCGCTTCCGCTGTCATCGCTATCGACGTCGTCGAACTCGATATCGTCATCCATATCCCCGCCGACGAAGTCGACAGTCTCGTTGATCTTAACGGACTCAGGAAACTCTCCGTAGGATTTCAAGTTTCTCGCCTCGTCAGCTGCAAATTTAACAGTTATTAGAATCGAAAAGACAATTTATTGAATTAAATGATGATTTTTGTAGAATGTATGTAAGGATAGGAGATAAAAACGGTGTCAACTAATGCATATTAAGAGTAGTTAAAAATATACCCCGCAAACTTTGTTAGTTTAGTTTTACCCCCAAAAAGACCATGAACTTTTCTTACAAGTGCAAAATTTCACTAATTAGAACATCAAAAACGTTTTAAAGCTTTGCGAGAAACATTCCAACATCAAGGTGAGAGAGGGAAGTAAGTATGATTTTCCCAAAAGAATGTTCAGAAAAATGTACTGGAAAGCTAAAACATAAAGTAAGCGACTAAATTACAAACAAAAAAATTCTCTCAACATTTCATTAATATTATTTTATAGAAACTATGAGAATAATTTTGAGTGATCCTCTTTCTAAAAAGTGACATAACGATTCACAAAGTTAAAATTTCAACCACTAAACGAGTGAATATGAGGAAGATGTTATTTCCTATTGTTATATTTTGACAATTTTCTTCGTTGTCTCTCTCAGCATCATAAATTTTCAAGAGAAACCGCTATTGAAAATCATCAGTTTTAACTAATAAAATAAGGATATATCATTCATTATCGGTTAGACAAAAGTTTCAAGGGGTACCATTGTAAATGAAACATGCCACTCCAGAACTAGAGAATCCGTCTAGTTGCATGTTTACCTGAATACTTGAGGATAACATCAGCCTTGGCATCCTGATAATCTCTCAGACCTAGAACCAGGATATAAGTTTAGACAGTTTAATACACGTACTAACAATATTATAAAAATACCCCACCCTTCAAGCAAAAAAAATTTCCAATTGTACAAATTATAATACAGGTGCTAACATTTATAACCCCCTCCTCCCTTCAAATCATAAATAATTTTGTCCAACTGAATAAATTATGAATTATAATTCTTGACTAGATTCGTTCAAATTCATGAATAAAACCCTTTTCAGACAAAAAAAAACAGAGTTTTTTTAATATGTACTTCTGAGCAATTAAAAAATATTGAATAATTAAGAAATATTGATCAATAAACATTCAAATTTCTTATTCAAAGAACACACGAATCCCATAATCAGCACAACTCATGTCTTTTAATATCCCCCCTTTATCTTAAATAAAAAACGCCCTTTTTGGCACACAACAAATATACATTATCAAAGGTTACCTATCAGCACAATATCCGACTGATTGATCCAGACCTTTTTCCTCAGCTTTCCTCTAAACAAAAGAAAGGATGTCATTTTTAGTGAAATACACACGGGGTTTGAAATGTTCATGATGTAAAATATTATCGATTGGAATGTTTGTTTCTTGGAAAACCTTGACGATGAGATCTCCCAGTACATACATTCATACAAACTAAGAAGTTGTGAAGTTGGGGGATACTTTCAAGTGCACATATATATGTATCATTGTATATACTTCGCTTGTTTGTATGTTTGTATGTAAAACGGGTTGTTTCACATTTATTATTAAAATTAAAAATGCAGCACTAAAAACAGAATAGTTCGATTTTTGTTTTTAAGCGAGTACGCTGGAAAATATGATTTCTTTAACAAGCTAGATTTATAACCTTGAGAGCGCAAAGCGCCCTTGAAAGCCTAGTATCTCGTAAAGAATCACCAATAACCCAATGAATTTTTTTTCAGACTCAAGAGGTATCCAAAGCCCGAATCGTCCAAAATTGACGGGCGTATTTAAGTACTTTATTGTGTTTGTCCGCCAGATGTCACCTAAAGTATAGGTGTCAGCACAAGATCTAATTTTAATGTGCATTTTTTTCGACAAGAGGGTCCGTGTTTAACCGTACTTCGGACGGCCATAGTCGGAGACATTATATGTTTGCAAAAAGTACGGATGGAACGATTCGGGCTCAAGGGACCAAAAATAACCCACCAAAATGCGTTAAATCTCATGAACTACTAAATAATGCTTTATAAACCTGATGTGACACAGACGTTTCACGCCATCGAAGCACATCGCTTCCAGTCTACCGTTCCCAAGCATCTTGGTCACCTTAATAGTAAATAATATTTAAATATTGATAATAATGTTTTTTGAAGATTTAGAGGGGTAAAAATAATCTTGCAGGATTTGATACAAATTTTATTTCCCATGTAAAAATTATTCTTTCAAGAAAACAAACAAACTTATTTTTTAAATAATGTATGAAACGTTGGGCAATGGATGCCAATAATGTATTTTTCCAGCGGAAAAATTTCCTTATTATCCCAACATAAAAAGGGGAAGAGGGATTTGTCAAAAGCCGTGCTTAGGATCCATTTAATTTTGATGCGGATCCGGATCTTGGATCCGCACTGGAAAAAAATGGATCCGGATCTTGATCCGGATCCAGGTCATTTCTTTAAGATTTACTGAATTTTTTTAACAAAAAAATAATTTTCAAATCAAAAAATCAGCCTCCTACGACAATTCTAAGTTATGTTTAAACACTGTTTAAATTTTCCGGAGAGTAATACGTTTTGTGGCCCCCCCCCTTTTTTTGTTTCATTTTTTTTCGCTTATTTTTATCCTAAAACTTGATAAACCTTGCAGAAATGAGTAAATTTTATAATATCGCTTTTTTCAAAAGTTCAGATTTGGGTTTTAGGAGTAAAAAAGTTTTTTTTTGCAGTTTTTGGTTTATATTTTATATAAGCACTGGTCAAAAGAATATACCTCCCTTCACTACATAATAACCGAGGGAGGTTATATATACCTGTGCATATTCCTGTCCATCCTCCTTGAAGACCAATTCTCTTTTCAAGCCCTCATTCTCATTCTTTCCTCTCCTCCTATTCTTTCCTCCCTTTCCTTTATTCTTAGGCATCTTGGACTACCTAAATATTACGGGATTAAGGAACTGTATTGTGTATAAGCGTAATTTTAAATGACCCTCCATGTCAAAATGACTATGCCTGATTTACAACGGTACCCTTGAAAGCTTTGCCTGTTTTTAAGTTTGAATTAGATATCCATGTTTTTGTTTCTTCAAGCTTTTTTTCATTTGTGGTTTCTTTGCAAAAGGGACTTAATATTACACATTTCTGGCTTTTAAGCATTCACAGAAATACACTTTTAGAGTCGGAAAAACGAAGTTATCTTCCACATTTTTCACCAGGATAAGGTTTTATCAGGGAGTAAGGAATAAAAGGGAGATATAACTGACGCGGTTCGCTCTACCATATGAGTATGCATGCTTTGCAGACGGTACTTCATTTGAATAAGAAATATTTGTCTGATGTACATTTACTGCGTATACAATAACCTATTCTGAATATTTCTTATACAAATGGAGTACCGTCTGCAAAGCATGTAAAATCATAAGGTAGGGCGAACCGCGTCAGTTGTATCTCCCTTCTATTCCTTACTCCCTGGGTTTTATGGGCACTGTTGTAAATAGGTCATTACTATCTTTACATGGAGGGCCCCTTAAAATTACGCTTACAATCTTTTTAGGAAGCAAGCGTTGTGGATTAGACCTATTTCATCAGTTGCATACCGCCTTCAGTGTGCTCCCAGCTTAACAGTTTGGGGGAGCGCTGCATTTCGTTGCATACATGACTTATCCTACGGGGAGTAAGGAATGTAATATAGAAAAAAACAAGACTCCATCTTCAGCCTGGTGCAGCTGATTCCTGTTCAGCTGAAAGGAGTTTCTCCCCTGATGGGTATACACGCCATGCACAACAATACCGGTTTTTTACTCGACCAGCTGTGAGGACTGGACTGCTGTGGAAGATTCCTCTCAATAGGGCTCTAAGGCTTACAACTCTCTATTTTGCATAAGGGGTTCAGGCATGGGTTTTCCTTAAAATTCCATTTAGTCAGAAAGACTATAACAGGAAGGACAACAGGGAGAAATTCCTTATACCCTTGCTCCTACAAACCTCTCTTATATATCTACTACCTGCTCTACTACTCGATGTCACATTAACTATTTGGCGAGGCCTCAAAGCGTAGAAACAAGAAACAAGAAGAAAATTGAACATGGAAAACTGGAAGGAAAATATCTAGATATTAGAGATGGGGGCTAGGAAGACGCCCCCCCCCCGCTTGGGAGGGGGATGAGAAGCTCGTTATCACCCCCCTCCCCTCCCCCCAAGAAAGTATCAGGAGTGTGTGTTTTGCTTAGTCAGATACAACTCTTGAATAAACAATTCAATATAGATTTCCTAAAAAAAAGCAATTGACCCTCTTACTAGTTCAATTAAATACAGAGTTAAAAAAAGCAGGATCCTCTAAAAATAGTTCTTTCTTATAAAGTGGCGAACTACAAGGATTTCAAAACAAAAATCTTTTCTTTTTTTTAAATTACCCGAAATATGATTGAAAGATGTATGAACAAGAAGAAAATAAAGAACAAGAAATATAGAAATCTCAAAATATTTTCATCTGATATCATATAAATATTTAAAAAATATTGTAAAACTTGATTTAAATAAATTATTGACGTTCAAAAAGACATATTTTATACAACAGTTTTGACTTCAAAGATCAAGTTTATAAAACATAACAAAAAATAGATAAAAATAGATACTTCATTAATTATTGCTATGAAAATGCCAGAACACAAGTTGGTGAAATATACGTTTAGAAATTAATTTCAACAAAACAGAAAATAATTACCTTGTTTTTTCTGTCCTAATTGGATTGTTTCTGTAACTTAGATTCCTCCTCTGAAAAATAGACTAATAAGAATTACAAAATCTTCAATTATAAATTAATATCAGAGGAAAAGGGAAGAACAAATCAGTGTACTGTGATGAGAACTTTTGAGTTGGATACCCCTAATCCTGATTGCTTATACTCAATATCCACTGTGAAACCTCTAGGAACAGGGGTCTATATTTTTAAGAATTATCCCCCCCCCCAAAAAAAACCAGGGAATGTTTTTGATGAATTGTGGAAGAAAACTAAAATATCAGCGAAAAATCACGCAACCAATAATCATATATAACTTCTGGAAGGGGGGTGTAAATGATTTTTATTTGGAAGTACAAAACAAAAACCAGATAATCCTAAACATAAGATGTTTGAGAAAGAAAAGTAGAAACCTAAGCGCTAGAACTAGATGAAGAACTGAACCACCCTGAACTTTGTAATCAGAAGCAGTTTTCTCGTCGTTCATCTGCTTCCCTGCAAATCAAAAAATACTTTTATTTGAGGAGCTTTGAAATGGGGGTTAGTTTTTCAGAATTACCCCCTCCCCATCCCGTCCCCCCAAATATGGATTTTTGGAGAATACACTAAAATTAGTTTTCCTCTAAAATTAATTAATTCCCCCCCCCCCTTCAGCGATTAAAACCCTAAAAAAAGTTGGCGCTTTCGTGCAAACTTCTTGGGGGGGGGAGTGATTATTCGGAAAAATTTACACCCCTGATGAACAAAGTGAGGGGAGGGGGTTGAGTACACAATTTACAGAATTAAGAACGTCTGGCAATGGTAGAAATAGAAAAAAAAAAAACAATAAAAAAGGGTTGAATTGTCCCTAAACATTTAACTTTCGCTAGTTATACAGTGTAACCAACAAAGGATTCGAATAAATTAACGACTAGTAACTTTAAGCTAACCGCTCAGTTTTTATTACAATATACTACACTGATCGATTTGAAAACAATTAAAAAAGAAAACAGTTGTGGTAAGAATGTCAGAAAAAGGCATAATTTCTGTAAAATCGTTTTTAAAGTCTTATCCTTAGTGAATAACCCTGTAAATGCATATTCTTGTAAGTGAAATATCTTTCTTACCAGAGAAGATGAGTCTTTGTTGTGGTGGAGGTATTCCTTCCTTTTCCTCAACTCTTTCCTTGATTCTTTCAACTTTGTCTGTAGGCTCGATATCAATCTCAATCTCTTTGCCTAAGTATTTATATTGTTTATGATATCTATCTTAATCTTTATATTGGTGGAGATATCCCAATCTTTATAATATTTAAGATATCTATCTCAATCTTAATATTTGTATATCTATCTCAATCTTTTTAATGATTGTGATATCTATCTCAATCTTTATATTGGGAGATAATTATCTCAATCTTAATATTGTATAAGATATCTATCTCAATCTTAATATTGTACAAGACATCTATCTCAATCTTTATAATGGTTGTGATATCTATCTCAATCTTTATATTGGTGGAGATAATTATCCCAATCTTTATATTGTTAAAGATATCTATCCCAATCTTAATATTGGTTTAGATATTTATCCCAATCTTGAAATTGTTTAATATATCTATCCCAAATTTTAAATTGGTTGAGATATCTATTTCAATCGGTATATTGGTTGAAATATCTATCTCAATCTTTATATTGGTTGAGATTCTCAATCTTCCTCTTGGTTGATGGTTGAGATATCTATGTTATATGTTATATGTTTATGTTATATAAGATAACCATCTCAATCTTTATATTGGTTGAGATATCGTATCTGAATCTTTATATTGTTTAATATATCTATCCCAATCATTTCATTGGTTGAGATATCTATTTTAATCTTTATATTGGTTGAGATCTATCTCAATCTTTATCTTGGTTGAGATTCTTAATCTTTCTCTTGGTTAAGTTATCTATCCCAATCTTTATATTGTTTAATGTATCCATCTCAATCGGTAAATTGGTTGAAATATCTATCTCAATCTTTATATTGGTTGAGTTTCTCAATCTTTTTCTTGGTTGAGATATCTATCCCAATCTTTATATTGTATAAGATATCTTACTCAGTCTTTAAATTGGTTGAGATATCGTTTCTCACTCTTTATATTGATTGAGATAATTATCACAATCTTAATATTGGTTAAAAAATCTATCTCAATCTCTTCACCTAATTATTTAGATTGATAAAGATGGTTGATTCCTAGTTTCCTTGAGCGATAATTGGACACACCCCCCCCCCATAAACTTTATACACTGATCTTGTATATAAAACATAAAAAAATTAGCCATATGGCCCCAGCGCTCGGCCTCCTAGTAAACTGACTGCTAAAAAACAGTTACGCAATTCTTTGTGGACACTTTATTACATCACATTAAGCCCCCCATGACGAATGACCTTTATCTGGCCCCCTCTGTAATGTGCTTGGGTCCTTTCATAATCCATACCTGTCAATGTCTTGACTTTGATCAGCATTCTGCCTCAATAATCAGACATCTTGTAGACATTGATAATCTGAACACAAAGAATAATAAGTTCTAGAAATACTTTCCTTTTATCCTTGCTGGCAGGCCAGTCACAGCTCACGACAAGTAACACTGAGCGGGCCGAGCCATGCTGTCTCAATGCCGCGAGAAATTTATAAAATTTTGCGCATTTCATCAAAGCAAATCTGTTTCCAAATGTCGTCATCTATAAAAATAACACTAAAATACAAAATTCGAAACAGATGAACTCGATGAACCACCTCAACCACCAGAACCACCATTATACTTGGATTTGACGTTTTCTCATAATATGCTAGCTGTGTGCAAAATTTAAAGAAAATCTATGAGAATGACTTGATTAAGAATGACCTGTAATCCTCTCTAAACAATATCTGGTCTATACGACATTATATAGGGTCGAGTAATTGGTCTCACAAAAAAATTCGAACCGGTTTAATTCAGCAGTTTTGACGTTTAAAGGACAAACATCGATTAAAATATGGTCAGTTGACAATTATAAATACAATACACAAAATGTTACCTAAATTACTGAGATCTGGATAACTTTGAAGTGTCTCCATGGACCTTATACCATAGCATACCGTACATTTTATTATTAAGATTTTTGCTCTAAAAAACTATTTAGCCAAATACTGAATGATGTTTGATTCAGAATGTGTAAATTTTAGTTCACAGTAAAAGATGTTAGAGTTTGTCAAAAATACATACAATTATACATTGATGAAAGAAGAATGGATTTTCCTTCTCAAAGTTTAAATGATGTTATTTTAAACTTTTTCACTTTATTTCTGTCAATTATGTCGAAATTCATCAGTTTAGAAATGCAGGTTTAAAGAAGGTTGCTTTACTAACACCAGGTTGAGCATTAAAGGGACTGTGAGTGTAATTTCAAGTGACCCTCTATTGAAAAATGGCAATTCTAACCTTGTAGCTATGATCTCAAATCATAGTCAGAGTCAAAGCAAGTTACAGCTCGATAAACAAACCGGGCTAGAATGTGTAAATTTTAGTTCACAGTAAAAGATGTTAGAGTTTGTCAAAAATGCATACAATTATACATTGATGAAAGAAGAATGGATTTTCCTTCTCAAAGTTTAAATGATGTTATTTTCAACTTTTTCACTTTATTTCTGTCAATTAGGTCGAAATTCATCAGTTTTGAAATGCAGTTTTAAAGAAGGTTGCTTTACTAACACCAGGTTGAGCATTAAAGGGACTGTGAGTGTAATTTCAAGTGACCCTCTATTGAAAAATGGCAATTCCCGATTCACAACGGTACTCTTGAAAGCTATCAATCATGTGAAACATATTGTCGTTTTTCAAGGTTTAAAAGCTTTTAATTTTAAAAATTCCTATATTTTTTCCTGCAGTAGAAATGCGCAAGTCACTTTTGTAGAGATCCCCCATTTGAAAATAATCAGTTTATAAAATTCTAAACAATGTTGTGAATCGGGCATTGAGATCTTAGCGTGGTGTGTCACTTGAAATTATGCTTACATTCCCTTTAAGCATTTACCTGGATCAAGACAGTGAAAAGTTTTAAGACCGGGTCAAGTACATCAAGACATATTGGCCTTTGATTTACCATTGGATTTACCCCACTAACGTACTAACTAACTTTACTTTTGTTGAAGTCTTATACATGTAGATTTTTTCCCAACAACTATTGTAACAACTTTTTTTTAAACCTGCAAAAGTATACTTTTTAATTATAGCGATATTTCAAGTATTTTAATCACACAAAAATACAACAAATGACAGATTATTTTTTTTAACTGAATTATTTCGATAGTATTATAAATAAAGTGGTAAGCAGTAGGCATTACATCAATACAAAGTTTTTATAGTTAACAAACATGATTTTAAGTTAACAGTTTACAAGTAATTAAAGTGAAGCTTTTTTTAATTGACAGCTTCTCTTGACTTCTATGTTTATATATATCCATGCTGTTTAACAGCTTGATATAAATCAAAATATTAATCAAAGTTGTCTTAATTGTATTGATATAATCGTCTACTATAGTACATGAATTATAATTTACACAGATATTTATAACCGCTGCACAGGTTTTTTAAGTTATTAACCTTGAAGACTAAACTATACTTCCAGTTTGTTTATTAACAGATTCAACCTCCTGGAAACTAGGATTTGATCAGATCTTTACAGATCTAAGATTTAAGAAAGATTCAAGATACTCTGAATCTAATGGAAACCTTCATGTTCGTTTTAATATACCAAAATAAACATTGAATGCTAGAACAAGGTTGATTGAATTTACTCCGGATTGAATGCTAAAATAAGGATGAATTCACCATGGATTAAATGCTAAAACAAGGATAAATTTACTCTGAATTGAATGCTAGAACAAGGATGAATTTACTCTGGATTTTATCTATCTATCTATCTATATATCTATCTATCTGTGGACCTAATTCTATCTTTCTTTCATTTGATTTGATATCTTTAAATATGACTAAATGCTATATAGTTATAAATATAACAATAAATTTGTATCTATAAATCTATTTATCTATCTATCATACAACCATCTATATATCTATCTATCTATCTATCTATTTATCTATAAATCTTTATCTATCTATGAACCTAATTCTATCTTTCTATCATTTTATTTGATATCTTTAAATATAACTAAACGCTATATAGTTAGTTATAAATATAACATTAAAGTTATATCTATAAATAGCTATTTATCTATCTATATCATATATACATCTATCTATCTATCTATCTATATATCTATCTAACTATCTATCATATAAACATCTATATATCTATCTATCTATCTATCTATCTATCCAATGTCAGTGGTTTCACAATGAACCAAAGTGAAAAAATCGAAAATTTGCAAAATTCGGTAATTTTACTATCTTTATTTTTTCCATACATTTCTCCCTATACAATAAGAATTATTACCGGCCTTGTAAGGAGGAAATGTACTCAAATTCCGAAATTTACTTATTCGATTCGTCCTTGACAATGTAAACTGTATATACTGTATATTTATATATATATACTGTGAAGTGCTGAGATGTGAAATTTAGTCAAGGCTCAAGGGATGCTTAGTTTGTACTTTTAGAGGGGAGGGGGAGTTTTAGCTTTGCAACCACACTTTCGCTTTCAGGAATCAAGTTGAAAATTGCCCGGGACAGGACCCATATAAATGTGGAATAGAGAGACGACTTAAGATATGATTTTGATTAGTTTAATGAACGTGAAGTACGGCAATTGTGCTGTGTGCATTGCACAATCCCATTTATTAAATATGTTGATTTTAAAGCAACTGGTAAACCATATAAATATATTTTGCCTTAAAACAACATCAAATATATACATTTATATTTATACATATACATAATTTTAACTTCTGAGGATCGTCATGAGGTGTGAGACATTATGTTTAGTATAATAAAATGTGAAGTATAAAAACTGAAATACATACATATATACATATAAGATTAATTAAATCTTCATTTTGTAAATAGGGACTTTCATGTAGGGGGAACTGGAGTTATAAATAGGAGTACTTTCAGAGCGTAGAGAGAGGAGTAGATAGGAGTACTTTCAGAGCGTAAAGAGAGGAGTTGATAGGAGTACTTTCAGAGCGTAGAGAGCGTAGTATATAGGAGGACTTTCAGAGCGTAGAGAGAGGAGT